ACCCACCTGACAACAGCTTCTATTTGGAGCTCATCCGCTCTACCGGTGGTCGTCGCCCCAAAGTCCAATGACAACAACAACTACTTCAGTTAAATACTTCAGTTTCATGTAACAGTTAAACAATATTTTTGCTTCAACGGCTTCCGTAGGCAAACTAGCATATAGAGCAATTACTTAGAAATGTATTAAGGTTAGAAATGGCTTTGGTACGCCGTATATCGTTCTCTATTGTTCTAATCTTAGATATCTCGAAATGATTGTCGAAATTTGAGTGTTTAGTAATATCCAGTATCTTATAAAATCTTACAAGAAAAGTGCAAATAATTACAGTTTATCCCAAAAGCATTTGTTAATATGCATGATAATTGCTTTCGAGGAACCGACATGCCTTTAACGTCAACCTAGAGAGTTTTATTATAATATTATAATAGCTAACAAATATCATGAAATCTTTAAAACTATATCTCATAAAACATCTAATAAACGCAAAGTAAAAAGATTACAAAATGCCATTGTCGAGGAATTGTTATTGACACTGTCAATAACAGAACACGTCAAAGGTATATAAAATAGGTATTGAAGGTAATTTTATTTCTTTGTTCCACATATTATCATAAACCATCACTCAAGTTAAATGAACAAATCCACAAAGGCTGTGATGAGGGTTCGAACATAAGCACCGGATGTTCCCAGCAGCGCCAAATCCACAAATTCCTTGTGGATTTGTTCATTTAATATATCGCGCTATTGTAATTTCTGTGTGTATCACTCAAGTTGTTTCTTTATTAGTCAATTTAGAAATATAGGTGTTGTGAGTCCAAACTTTAAGTAAAATTGCTAAATGCATATAGTATTGTGCAGTACTAAATGCATATAGTATTGTGCAGTACTAAATGCATATAGTATTGTGCAGTACTAAATGCATATAGTATTGTCAAAATGACTTTAATTTTTTTTATATTTATTTATACAGGAGTTCTTACATTCTTGTACAGCCACTAGCACGCATAGCGTTTCGGACAGGTCCTTAATCCTAATTTTCCATGGAACACGATCTGCCAAATCGTTTAACAACCAGATACCCATTCACTGCTGGGTGAACAGAGGCCACAGTTAAGGATTAGCGCCCGGTCAATCCTCCCCGGTCAGGATACGAACCCAGGCCAAAGCGCCGGGCAAATGTCTTACCACTGCGCCACGGGAATTGCTGAACATTCACTTACGCATGTAGCTAAGGAATCATTAGTGCGGTTATAATGAATGGAATATATGAATAATAATATAATGAGTCACAAGGAATATGCATATAGTCGTTGGAGACGGTTGCCTGTAGTGCAAACCTCCTGCTCCTCTCACGAAGCTTAACACTAGCCATTACTATAGTCATTATAGGGACTTTAGTGCTCATAAGATCTTTTTATGAACCATGATGAATGTATTGCTTATTCATTCTCATTATTCATGCTCACATAATGTTGTAATATGAAATTTTTGATCGATGAATTTTTTTTATTATTATTATTTTATTTTTTATATTTTTATTATTTGTTCTTATATGCTGTGCATATATATGTCTCTTTGGGACTCATTATTTGTGTTTTATAAGAATTAGTAATTAACACGGTTAAGAACCTTGTGTTAGTCACAAAACTCTACCATTTGGCTCGGCTCCTCTTGCCCGAAGAAGAGCTATGGGACCGCTGGATGCCCGGAGCAGCAAGCTTGGGTACGCCGGGGGGCAGGAGACCAACACCGCTGGGTGCCGGGGGCAGCAAGCTTGGGTACGCCGGGGGGCAGGAGACCAACACCGCTGGGTGCCCGGAGCAGCAAGCTTGGGTACGCCGGGGGGCAGGAGACCAACACCGCTGGGTGCCCGGAGCAGCAAGCTTGGGTACGCCGGGGGGCAGGAGACCAACACCGCTGGGTGCCCGGAGCAGCAAGCTTGGGTACGCCGGGGGGCAGGAAACCAACACCGCTGGGTGCCCGGAGCAGCAAGCTTGGGTACGCCGGGGGGCAGGAGACCAACACCGCTGGGTGCCCGGAGCAGCAAGCTTGGGTACGCCGGGGGGCAGGAGACCAACACCGCTGGGTGCCCGGAGCAGCAAGCTTGGGTACGCCGGGGGGCAGGAGACCAACACCGCTGGGTGCCCGGAGCAGCAAGCTTGGGTACGCCGGGGGGCAGGAGACCAACATACCTGTCGATGCTGTTACATTATGGAGGAGCGAGCTTGCTTCACCTGAGCGTGCTCCGTGGCGTCATCTCGCCCTCGGTTACGTCACATTTTAATAAACCAGGACACGTCCTGGCGTCCACCCCGGCCGGCGCGGGGAGGACCGGGCGGCCAGCAACTTCTGCTCCCACTGTTACTGCTGCTGCAGTTGCTGTTACTGCCGTTGCTGCTGCAGTTGCTGTTATTGCCGTTGCTGCTGCTGTTGCCGTTGCTGCTTTTGCAGTTGCTATTGCTCTTGCTTTTGCAGCTGCTATTGCTTCTGCTATTTTTTTTATTTTAGACATTAGGTGTTAGTCTGTTGTTTTCCATTTTCTTTAGATTCCTGTCTTTTAACGTTCATTTACGTTCGGTGTAAATGCATGTTTAGGTAACATTTATTTTGCTTCATGGTCCGTATTTTGATAAATGATGTTTTTTTTAATTCCTTTTTGTAACATTTAATTAATAAAATGGGTTCGTGGTTATTAGTAATATGGTTTAATTTGAAATTGTGTGGATTTGTCTGTGTATCGGGAAGGTTTTATTTAAGTTGTGAGTGACTTTCATTGTTAGTCTTTATGGTTCGTCGTTTTCTTTGTCTTGCTGACTTATATTTTGTTAAATGAATGGATTTAGGCTACATCCGAACATTTGGGGTTTTAACACATTTATACGTAGATTTATACATATATCCTTCAACTTCATTCAGGCACTTCGGCATTGTGGTAAGTTTCTCCATTTTTGTTCAATATAAACTATTTTATTATCTGTGTGGGTATTATTTTTTTTGTCTGTGTGGAAGTAAACGGCAGGAAGAAAGTGCTAAGCCGAGTACTATTATACAGCACTTGGAGGTGAGGACGAGGAGCTGGGATAGGACGAGGGGGTGGGGGGGAAAGGACTGGTGCCCAAGCACTTGGATCGCTGGTGATCGAACCCCGACCAACAATAAGCGAAGCCGTCGGTGTACCGACCGGAGCAAGTGGCCTGATTGTTAAAGTTTGTGTGGAATATTTGTTTTTAGGTGACTTTTTTCCAACATTTTATGAATATATTGATTCTGTTATTCCGTTTTTTTGCTTTATTATTTCGCTTGATTCCAATTTATTAAAAATTTCAATCTGTTCAACGAATTTGTGTTTATTATATTATATATATATATATATTGTGTCTTTTTTGTACATATTTACATTCAGAGCTTTGTACTCATTTATTAATTTTTCTTCGTGTTATTTTGTGTTATGTGTTGTTTCTTTCGTACTATGCATTACTTTCTTTGTGTTAAGTAATGTAAAAGAAGAAAGATTAACACTATAATGCCTGTAAATCAATTAACAAATTGCTACAGAGCGGACTGAGTGGTAAATGTAACCGGGGAACTTGAGCTTGTGAGAAAATGTAAATCAGATATATGTATGGATGAGATCAGATCATGATGACATCACTGTATTTTGATAACCGTATTTTGATGAGTAAAGAGACACCTGTATGTGAATAACAGTATTTTGATGAGTGAAGAGACCGTTGTATGTGTATAACTGAGCTCAAAATATAGCAGCACAAGAGCTAAATGGAATAAAATAAACTTCTTCAATATGATAAATGGTGGAAAAGTACAGAGGAAGTTCCTAAAACGGTAAGACCGTATAACATGATAACACTAATATGAGAAATTATTAAATTCTGAGAAATTCTTTATCACAAAATCCTAACAGATTCCTTTGAGAGAAGGAACGTGGAGCAAGAAGCTGAAAAGAAATGTGAAAAGTTTATTGCAAGACAATGCAATAAAAAAACCCTACCCGGTAACTCTGAAGACGAGGAGTGAACCGCACCTGAGAATAACATAACCAACTGAAGCACACTGTATATTTATCACAGCTAACTGTGTAATGCCAGAGTTACAGCCCCGCTCATGTGCCAGGTAAGTCCACTACGGGCTCACCATAGCCCGTGCTACTTGCAACTTTTGATTCCGAGTAGATGAATCTAAATCAACAACATGTGTAATGCGGCAGTGAGAGAAGAGCACAGGAGAATAGAGAGAGAGGAGTGAGGGAGGGAGAGTGGCGAGGAGGTGGAGAGAGAGAGGGTGGGAAAGGAGAGTCCTTTTTATATGCAGGAGTGTGTAGTGGTGAAGGTATGATGTTCCACAAGGCATGAATGCGTGGAAAAGACTGGGATTTGTTTTGCACTCTGCTGGAGAGGCTGTGGATTGTATGCTGAGAGGTAGATAGAGACACAGGTAAATTACCTGATAAACTTGTGGATAGATACAAGGTAACAGTGAAAAGGAAAATAAATGTTGATATATAGGCACTACATCCAAGGTTTCATTCCACTGTCTGTAATTCTTTCTTTGTGTGCTTCCCCAGGTGAAGGATTGCTGTACATTGCCACCCTACTGAGTTAATCTATATCTAGTGCTGGTGAACTCCTTATCGGCCATAAAAGTGTGTTATCGTGATGGTAAAAGTGAAAAGATAACTATATCAGTACCGCAAGAGACTCTCATCATTTAACCAATCGCAACATTGCTTGCTCCTGAATACAGGGATCTCATTGGTTAAAGGTCCCTGTATCCCGGCACACAGCGTTATGAAAACTAAATCAGTTGTATTAAAACACTTGTGCTAAAGAATGAAACACACGTCCTAAGAGCGAAAAAAACGAGAATTAAAATCCCCCATACAAGAAGGTCGGTATTCAAGTGGAATGAACAAAGACGATTCCCTATTAATGGAGGAGGTGGGTTCCTTATCACTTCACCCGGACGTACTAGACACGACCAGTAAGCCGGGACGATGCAGATTAGTTGCGACAGTCTCCAGCCGTGGAGCGTCGGTCCTCAGCGGCGCCCTGCTCAGTGTCATCCTTACCCGCCGACCCGCTAACTCCCTGGCGAGTTACCCGTACCACATCCTGTTATACTCATGTTATGTAAACTGAAGTCGAGATCTGAACCCACGGTGTGTCACTGAATTGTCAACGATGCTACCCTTGAAGGTAAGACATGACTCCGAGGCAGATATATATATATATATGTGTGTGTGTGTGTATTCTGCAAGAGACGGTAATTATCTGCTTCTGTAATGAATTACACAATTGACATTAGTTGCATGTCGGCTAAGATATTATAAACACAAGTAACAGCAGAAATACCTAAATGGGCCGGAGTTTGAATTGATTCCTAGATCGCTATTTTAGATAGATGAAAATTGCTAAGGAAGTTATATTAAAGCTCCAAAAGCTTACGGATTGTGGTGTCGTAATGACATTAATACATGATGTTGATCAGTATGGCGCCCACGTTGCGCGTCTTGTATTTGGAGAGAATAACAGTACAGGAGTGTGTTTATCTTGTATAGCTGTGTATGCCAACGGGGAGCATACACCGCTCCATGTTCATGAGTTCCTCCATGGTTAAGTGTTAGAGGGCCTCCAGGCATCACTGTTGGAGGGCCTCCAGTCATCACTGTTGGAGGGCCTCCAGGCATCACTGTTAGAGGGCCTCCAGTCATCACTGTTGGAGGGCCTCCAGTCATCACTGTTGGAGGGCCTCCAGGCATCACTGTTAGAGGGCCTCCAGTCATCACTGTTAGAGGGCCTCCAGTCATCACTGTTAGAGGGCCTCCAGTCATCATTGTTAGAGGGCCTCCAGTCATCACTGTTAGAGGGCCTCCAGTCATCATTGTTAGAGGGCCTCCAGTCATCACTGTTGGAGGGCCTCCATCACTGTTGGCAGACGGTGCTCATATAATCTCTATTTACAGGGCAATTGGTGCTCGAGTAATTAAAAACTTTTCTGAAATTTTCCTCACGCTAATTCCTGATACCAACGTGCCACCTGGGAGTAGGCCAACTCCCCCAACGTGACGCCTGGGAGTAGGCCAACTCCCCCAACGTGACGCCTGGGAGTAGGGCTACTCTCCCATTGTAGCCATTCATATATTTTCAACGCGTTCCCTGATAACGGCTCATGCCCAACATCATTAGTAAAATTATTTAGACACGAGACTGATCAAAATTCTCTTTTAGAGGAAACAAAATAAAAACCATTGACATTGATTATTTAAGATCAGTCGTGAACATTTTGGAATTTTATTTATGCATTTTTCTGTGAATCATTCCTAATCTTGCTTGTCTATTTCTTTATTGTGAAATGATGAGTTTAAATATTGTTATTCTTTAAGTTATATATTGCGAGAGAATTAGTTTAGTGCTTGTTTCTCTATGGAAATTTATTCTGTTGGAATAATCCACGATAACGAGTGAATCATGCAAGATAACGAGTTCCACACAACCTCCACCTTGCGATACAGCATAACATCTAATTCCTACTTGTGACAGGGTGCGAGGCAAGCATAGTGCTATCTTGAGGTTATCTTGAGATGATTTCGGGGCTTTAGTGTCCCCGCGGCCCGGTCCTCGACCAGGCCTCCACTCCCAGGAAGCTGCCCGTGACAGCTGACTAACACCCAGGTACCTATTTTACTGCTAGGGAACAGGAGCATAGGGTGAAAGAAACTCTGCCCATTGTTTCTCGCCGGCGCCCGGGATCGAACCCGGGACCACAGGATCACAAGTCCAGCGTGCTGTCCGCTCGGCCGACCGGCTCCCTTGCTGTCCGAATATGAGGCAAGCATAATGCTGCCCGAATATGAAGCAAGCATAATGCTGCCCGAATATGAGGCAAGCATAATGCTGCCCGAATATGAGGCAAGCATAATGCTGCCCGAATATGAGGCAAGCATAATGCTGCCCGAATATGAGGCAAGCATAATGCTGCCCGAATATGAGGCAAGCATAGTGCTGCCCGAATATGAGGCAAGCATAGTGCTGCTCAAGGATGAAAACATGGAAATGAAAGCCAGCAAGGAGCCGCCTGACAGGTTATGTGAAGATAAAGAGACCCATGCTTTCCTTATCTGGTTGATATCATACTGTGTAGCCTACTATGCATCGCCAACACTTCGACCAGCCACGTGAAGTGGCCCATAGACCTCAGCCACTTCAATTACCTCAGAAGACGTACACTTTAAGTGGTAGTATTTATCACGTTGCGAATTAATGTAAAATACAAATTAGCCACAGATGGCGTAACTGAACTGGGGGTTTGCGCAAGGAACAGGACGTGCCTGCTTACTGCAGAACACGACCAGGTGTACAGTGTAATGCCCCTCACCCAGGTGTACAGTGTAATGCCCTTCACTTAGGTGTACGGTGTAATGCCCTTCACTTAGGTGTACAGTGTAATGCCCTTCACTTAGGTGTACGGTGTAATGCCCTTCACTTAGGTGTACAGTGTAATGCCCTTCACTTAGGTGTACAGTGTAATGCCCTTCACTTAGGTGTACAGTGTAATGCCCTTCACTTAGGTGTACAGTGTAATGCCCTTCACTCTTCACTTAGGTGTACAGTGTAATGCCCTTCACCTAGGTGTACAGTGTAATGCCTTCACCTGTTTACTGCTAGGTGAACAGGTTCATCAGGGTGAAATAAACTCTGCCTATTTGTTTCTGCCTCTGCCTTGGATCGAACTTAGAACTACGACCCCAGAGCGCTGTCTACTCAGCCGCGAGACCCCCCTCTGTTTGTGCGTGCGTGCGTGCGTACGTGCGCGTTAGTCAATATATCCGAATCGTATAGATCAATGACTCCTTTCTATATTAATTAGGTTCTTATTTACTTGACAAGAAATTTGAAAATTTTCTGTGAAAAGTTAGCTTGTTGATCAGACCACACTAGAAGGTGAAGGGACGACGACGTTTCGGTCCGTCCTGGACCATTCTCAAGTGAATCGACTTGAGAATGGTCCAGAATGGACCGAAACGTCGTCGTCCCTTCACCTTCTAATGTGTGGTGCGGTCAACATACTTTAGCCACGTTATTGTGACTCATCGCCTGCAAAAGTTAGCGTTACACTCTCGAAGGTGTGGCGCACGTTACCAAGGTACAACACAGGCATCAACACAGGTAGAGGCCAAAACGACAAACACAGCAATATAGATTACAGGCGAGTGTAAAGAGAGAAGAAGGTGGTTACCGTGTTAAGGGGACCGGGTTAGCTGGTGCTGCATTCTGATTGGTTCTCTTGGGTGATAGTTGCTGTGGAGCCTCACAGTACTCTCCTGGTCTTATTGACGGTAGGATGTATCTAGTTTTAAGTTGAAATGTATTTGTATTTTTACTTTATTTTATAGTAAAAATATAATGGTTACTAGATCAAATACAGTAGAAATTCTAGCTTTTCCGGACAAATGCGCATTGGCCTCGCTAGGTTAGATTTGAAGCGCTGGTCAATTAGGTCTTTAACAATAGGACGTGCCTGCCGTGTTCCCGCTGATGATGGAAGTATCTGAGGATTCAGCGCAACATGACTACAAATCATATTATTTGGTTGTTTGGGACAGGCAGAAAGAGACGGACAGAATGGTAATTGGGCTGCGTCTTGTGCGTGTATTCCTATGCATGAAAAGTGTATTCACCAGGCAGAAGATAATGGAACAACCCGTCCTCGACTCAAGTCCATTGCATCCAGCGGTCGACCCCACAGACGCATTCATAAATTTTAACTTGCTGTTCATTCAAAACGGGAATTTTCTCAAGTATAAATTAATATTATAATATATTAGCATATTGTGTATATATAGGCATAGGATAGGTTAGGTCAGGTGTTTAGGTTCTGTTGGCGATTATTTGTATTTGTAGTACGTGGGTGAAGCATTTATAGTGTTGTGATTCGAACAAAATTCGTCAGCGAAGCACTTGTTCCGGATATGTTCGAACGTCAGCAGTTGAGTCGTGTGTAAACCGCTTTTCATTCATAAACAGGGGGTTTGGCGGGTGCATGGAATCACTTTTGGGTCTTTGTTTGGAGGACGGGCTGCAACGGAAATATACCCTAATCGAAGGGAGATTCAACCAACATTACACAACTGATGCGATCGTTAGCAGGAATTTGCCATAATAGTCAATATAAACGTAAGAGAAAATTACTGAATTTAGTTAAAGTGTTAACATTTCTGATTATTTAACATTTGATGGATTTCTCTGTACCTGGTATTATTTTGTGGGCATTGAAACCTAAGGGTCATCGGATGTGAGTGAGGATGTGGAGCTCTCACCGCAAGTGGAGGTTAGAACTTATCATTGGGAACAAGATAAAACAGATAACATATCACTGGGCTGCGCTGGGAGCAGTTGAATGGAAACGCAAGAAAGAATTGTGAACAAAAAACTACGATTGCACACATTGCAACATATAATCTAAACAAATTAAAAAACTATTATTATTTTTGTTTTCAATTTGTTTATACTGTTTTCATCACTATAGATCAAAGATCACATGCAGGTGTTAGCGTTGTTTAATGACAGTGTGAGAACGACGGTGGGAGTATAGGTACTGTCAATTCAAGTTCAAGTACGTTTATTGAGAAAATAAAATACATCTCAAAGGGATAGAGTAGCTTAGACTATTTCTATCCTCCTTAAGGTACCGTCAATGGACAGTACGCTGCTGGGTCCCACAAGATACAGGCACCGGGACGATACAGTTAGTAAAAAATATGTCTGTGGCCCCCCAAGCCATTATTACAACTATAAGCAACTATAATCAGTGTGATCGTAGCATGCTCAAGGATTTGATGAAATTGTGCCCAAAATACGCCACGAGTGTTTATAGGAGTTGGGTGTATGTCTCCTAATGCCCATTGAGAGAACTTGGTCGCCTAGGTTCGAATCCTTAAAGGTTCACTCGAGTTTTTAGTTGTAAATATATATGTACTTATTTATTTTATTTTTCAAATTAAAATTGTAATAATTTAGTAGAAGGAGGATTATTGGTTCAATATGTAATTACTGCTTTTTACAGTTGAGTAAGGAACTGCTAGAGTGAAATGTTCCCTGGAAACGTTTGAACATAATCAGCTGTGAATCATGTAAGAAATGCGTTTTCTTTATAAACAAATGAGGACGGTTGCTATATGAACTCCTTTACGGGCTCACTATAGTCCGTGCTAACCAGACCACGCACTACAAGGTGAAGGGACGACGACGTCTCGGTCCGTCCTGAACCATTCTCAAGTCGATTGTGGACCATTCTCACAATCGACTTGAGAATGGTCCAGGACGGACCGAAACGTCGTCGTCCCCTCACCTTCTAGTGTGTGGTCTGGTCAACATTCTTCAGCCACATTATTGTGACTCATCGCCTGCATAGCCCGTGCTACATGGACATTTCGTTCTAAGTAGCTAAATCTAAAACAACAACAACGGTTGCTATACATGGCAACCCATCTCCAAAACAGTGACCAACTGCTCGTTGATCCTGCATGTGTCGTGAGTCAAGTACTTTTTCTTCACGTTCAGGACAAAACCATTTTTATAATAAAAAACTTCTAACATGTGATTTACAACTGATTACATTCACACACTTCCGGACATTGATTAAATTTTGTTTTTGTTTTTTTTGAAGTGAAATTGAAATTGACATAAGTTTATTGAGGTATAAATACACACAAAGGGATGAGGTAGCTCAAACTATTCTCACCCCGTTCAGTACAACTTGTCCACATATGTATAGACACAAATCAACATATTACCGAACATTCTTTGTGATAAATATATACATTTCTTCCTTTTGTTTGATGTGCATCTCTCTAAGGCCTTCAACCACGTTACTGGTGTTTCACAAGCCATGCTGCCCCCCAGACCTCCCTCACACACGTGTTAAAGCGAAGTTCTCTAATATTTGCAGGCCTGGCAGCCTCTCCTGGTCGCTCTACTGCTTCTTGTAAACCTTGCCACTAGCAGCCCGGTGCTGCAAGGTGATAACGATTATAATTACAACTACGATGACTATGAACAAGCAGATGAGCAGAAAACAAAATCCATTCCCCCGGACCCTGAACCGGTTGTAATGCAGAAAGTTACGACGAAATCAGTACGAGAAATAGAACCTAAACCAGCTGCAGATCTGAAAACGACGACGAAGTTAGGACTTGAAGTAAAACCTGATATAGCCGCTGATCTGAAAGCTACGACAATGTCTGGACTTGGAACAAAACCAGAACCAGCTGCTGATCTAAAGACTACGACGAAATCCGGACGCGGAACAGAATCCAAAACCGTCGTCGAGCTGAAAGCTTCGACGAAGTCAACACCCGGAGCGGAACCTAAGACACCTGGAGACCCGATACAATTCCCCGAAATTGATCCTGAGCGAGAATCAGGAGCACCGGTTGACGTCGAAGAGACGGACTACTCGCAGTCGCTGCTGAACGCTACATCTACGCCAGAAGCGACTGAGGCGGACGAGCGGGGTGAGGTACCTCAACCAACTCCCAAACCTCTTCCCGGTAAATGAACTAAATTTACTTTGCCACATTACGTTCTACTCGTTCGACAGGGTTTATATATATATATATATATATATATATATATATATATATATATATATATATATATATATATATATATATATATATATATATATATATATATATATTGGTGTATACTGGCAGCAGGTTTTCTTTCAAAAATGTTTCATTGAATATGACCGCATATTCTGTATTTATTATTTTCTGGTTTAGGGCTTCTATCCCTCTAACTATTTTCTTAGCATCAGGGCTTAATTGAAATAGGAGTTCTCCAAAACTCATTTTCGTACTTTTAAGGTGAAGAAAAGAAGTGATTTACTATAGAGTGTATTACACTTATTTGTATAATTTGCACGACGTTTCGAACTTCCATGGTTCATTCTCAAGTGAACAGATCTTACAATACTAGTTGATTTTATACCCGCATTAGGTCAGGTGATAATACAATGAAGGTGAAAACATGGGGGGATACATAAGGGATAAACATAGGGGCTGCAGAAGGCTTATTGGCCCATACGAGGCATCTCCTATCTAAACACAAAGATTAATCCATTGTAATTGGCCTGTTATGTTGGACATTGTCTTCTGTGTTGGCATCGATATGTTCTTGTCTTGTCCTTACTAAGGACAAGACAAGAACATATCGATATATATATATTTATCTCATAGGGCGATTCTAACTTCTAACATAGTCATAAGTTGCAAGGCATTGGACATGTGAGTGAATATTCTACTCTGAATGTCCTTTGTAATTATCTGCTATAGGGTATTCTTCTGTCTGAGTGACGAGGCTGCTGAAAACATGAAGTCTAAGGATTTATTTACTTCTAATTAAGGTTTAATTACTTAAGCAAATTTGTGTGATAATGAGCGGTTTAAGTCACTTAAGAGTTTCGTGTGCGACAACTGTTGTTAACTCCGTCACAATCCGCTCCATAAATACGTTAATCATGTATTACGTTGTATAGTTACATAAGTTTATAGTATTGATCTGTTTCAATTTTGATTTAGTGTCGGCGGGGGGGGGGGGATGTGTTAATAAATTATTAATTAATTAATCTTGAAAGCGCAATTATAAATATACTTGAAAGTTATTTTATTTATCAGTCTTAAACAAAAAATTAGAGAGCATATGTAAAGTAATATAATTATTTGTCACACACCCTTGTGTATTGTGTAACATGTGAATGGTTGCTAAACTCTGGAGTCTTTGTGGGCCCTCCACAGCAAGCTGCACACAGCCTCCGAGCCCGGGGCTGTGTCGAGGCCACTACCCAATGTTCTACTTCGACCCCGCGACCAACACCTGTCAACAGTTTGTGTACGGCGGCTGTCGAGGCAACGAGAACATGCACAAGACAGCCACGGAATGCTACGCCAAGTGCCACCCAGCTGCCCTCAACGGTAAGTGGGAAGGAGAGAGAGAGAGGGAGAGAGGGAGGGAGGGTGAAAAAACACGGGTCTGGTCTCGCGGTGTGGAATAATCGATTTCACAGACTCTCCCCATATCAATTGTCATCCACACTTCCGTGGAAATAAACTTTCCTTATTAAGGCTACTCAATAGCTTGGTTGATAGACCTTCGGCCTGACACGCCTGGGGGCCCATGGTTCGAGTCTCCTAGAGCCCAGGTGAATGGACTCTCCCCATCTAGACGTGAGGGACATTTTGATTGACGGAATCTTGTCTGTCTTGACGTCAGAGATCATATGTTTAACACAATCTCGTCCATCTTAACGTAAGATTCCTAAGAGTCGCGGAATCCGGATCTTTTTAATATGAGGTATCTTATTTTTCACGGAATTCCGTCTTCACGTTTAGCTTGTCTAAATTTATTCGCGTGAGATACAAGCGTACTCAGTGTGATGGATATATATGAAGTCAATGCATAGGAACTGTACGCATTTCTCGATAAAGAGTAATTTAAAAGCTCATCATGCGTATATTATTAACTACAACCGTACAAGTTGTACGCATGTTCATGCTGAGGGCTTAATGATTACAGCGTAGTTTAAATTAAGGTTTTCACCTTTATCTATGTATATACATTTTCAATTTTAACAATATATAAAATGTTCCACCAATAGTGTCAAATGTTACCGTGATAAATGTTGAACATGGGGCATGCTGAACATGGGGCATGCTGAACATGGGGCATGCTGAACATGGGGCATGTTGAACATGGGGCATGTTGAACATGGGGCATGTTGAACATGGGGCATGTTGAACATGGGGCATGTTGAACATGGGGCATGTTGAACATGGGGCATGCTGAACATGGGGCATGTTGAACATGGGGCATGCTGAACATGGGGCATGTTGAACATGGGGCAGGCTGAACATGGGGCATGCTGAACATGTGAGTGGATAAGGCATCTAAGAATCTCCTCGGCGAGCCTCGCAGACAATTACTGCAGGAACACGCACACCCAAGTCCACAAGGAACGAGACTGTGTACCTCCGTTCCACACAAACACTGTAGAAATACATTGGATGCGACCTATTGTAATTGTGTTTATCCATGACCAATTTATCAGATTTTAACTTTAACCTACAGAAGTTACCTTTCACATGAATTATAAATAACAAAGTACGCATCAACCTGGCAATTTAAATTAGCTACATCTTTGATATAAAGCTGCAGGATGGTCATATGTTGCTTCACATTGTTTGGATTCATTCTGATAATAACTTGTTTACTCCCACAGTGTGGAACAAGCACCAGCTTGGTAGGTCATCACCACACGACTACCTGACCTTACACGATGGTACGGGCGTCACCTCCCTCACCTTCGTCAGCCGCAACCCATCTCTCAGGGTCGACGACAAGACGCTGGCTCACTTCTCCATCAAGTAGGTCGTTCTGCAGGGGAGGGAAGATGGTATACAATTAGGATATAAGCGAAGCACAACCTTGCGACTTCTAATGTCACATATTCTCTTGTGCGAGGCTAGGGGGGTCCTTACAAATTCAACCAGAGGTGTGCGTATGTATGTATATATGTATGTCTGTATGTATGTTTGTATGTATGTCTGTATGTTTGTATGTATGTATGTATGTGTGTATGTATGTATGTCTGTATGTATGTATGTGTGTGTGTATGTATGTGTGTATGTATGTATGTTTATAATCCTCAAACACTGCACAAAATCAGTATAGCTGACTTAAGTAGAATGGGTTTTATCCAGCTAGGGGAATCAGTCGTCAACCTGACTACTGAGATAAGAATGTGATGTAAACTACAACACACTGCTGATCATACAGGTTTAAGAGGTCTCGCGTGCACACTGCCTCCACCTCCTACTCACACACTCACACCAACACGTTGTTGTTGTTTAAGATTCGCTACTTGGAACAAAAAGTTCCAAGTAGCACGGGCTATGGTGAGCCCGTAGTGGATTTACCTGGCACAGGAGCGGGGCTGGAACTGTTGACTGACACGTAAAGTCGCGATCTTTTATACCAACCAACGCAACCAAGTCATTATTCCGGGTTTACTGCCCTCCGTGTGTCGCTAGCTCTTCGGAAGAAAAAACGATAATAAGATATCAAACATATCTGATATCTTATTAGCGACAAAATGTGGTCATAGTTTTAATAGAAAGCACTAAAGGAACTCTGTTAGTTAAAGAGAATTTGTGCAGCAACTTGTATTAGTTTCTAATGAGTATTCAGCCTCACGCCCCGCCTGCATGCTCAGCACCCAGCTGCTTCTCATGTATGCTGAATTAAGAAACTTTTGGAGTCATTACAGGTCATTAATAATAGGATATGAGGTGTGTCGTGCAATTTAGATTCGATAATTAGGATTAATTACCCGAGTGACGAAGCCTGTTTTCCTGATTGTTCCCGTATCAGCGGTATTTCATTATTTGAAGATAAGAGTTATACATTCTAAAACAAATATGGAAAATATGATATATTACGAAACTTGTTTGCTAGTCATTTAATCCTCAGACGTTATATTCACCGAGAGATGAACTCCGGTGCTCGGTGTATATACACAGAGGTGCTATATACTCTTAAGTACTTGGAGTATTTTCTCGACTATAAAACTCTTGCTGGTTGGTTAGTAAGCTTTTGGTTCTAGTTTCACTCATGGTACTGGGAGTGAAAGAGAAGATTTAGTGACGTGAATGAGAAAGGAAAGAACTGTGCACGGCAGAGGGAGATATGCAAGAGTTACCGTGCACAAGAGAGGAGATACAAGAGTTACTGTGCACATGAGAGGAGATATAAGAGGTACTGTACACGTGAGAGGAGGTACAAGAGGTACTGTGCACGAGAGAGGAGGTACAAGAGTTACTGTGCACGAGAGAGGAGATACAAGAGGTACTGTGCACGAGAGAGGAGATACAAGAGTTACTGTGCACATGAGAGGAGATATAAGAGGTACTGTGCACGAGAGAGGAGATACAAGAGTTACTGTGCACGAGAGAGGAGATACAAGAGTTACTGTGCACGAGAGAGGAGATACAAGAGTTACTGTGCACGAGAGAGGAGATACAAGAGTTACTGTGCACGAGAGAGGAGATACAAGAGTTACTGTGCACGAGAGAGGAGATACAAGAGGTACTGTGCACGAGAGAGGAGGTACAAGAGTTACTGTGCACGAGAGAGGAGATACAAGAGTTACTGTGCACGAGAGAGGAGATACAAGAGGTACTGTGCACGAGAGAGGAGATACAAGAGTTACTGTGCACGAGAGAGGAGATATAAGAGGTACTGTACACGTGAGAGGAGATACAAGAGTTACTGTGCACGAGAGAGGAGGTACAAGAGTTACTGTGCACGAGAGAGGAGGTACAAGAGTTACTGTGCACGAGAGAGGAGATACAAGAGTTACTGTGCACGAGAGAGGAGATACAAGAGTTACTGTGCACGAGAGAGGAGATACAAGAGGTACTGTGCACGAGAGAGGAGATACAAGAGTTACTGTGCACGAGAGAGGAGATACAAGAGTTACTGTGCACGAGAGAGGAGATACAAGAGGTACTGTGCACGAGAGAGGAGATACAAGAGTTACTGTGCACGAGAGAGGAGATACAAGAGGTACTGTGCACGAGAGAGGAGATACAAGAGGTACTGTGCACGAGAGAGGAGATACAAGAGGTACTGTGCACGAGAGAGGAGATACAAGAGGTACTGTGCACGAGAGAGGAGATACAAGAGGTACTGTGAGTCAAACAGAAAACGTGACTTGCATGTGAACACCGAACAAAATGTGGCACTTAACAAAACCGATTGGAAGCAGTTTGTTGGGAGGGGATTAACCGGTTGATAATTTGTCTTTGTGATTATTCAATCACTTCACTGCACTGAGACACTGTCTCAGCTGCGAGGATGTTTTGTATATTGCTATTGTCCTTGTGATGGTGCAGTTAGTAGGCCTGGGAGGCAGTGTGAATAGTTGTAATTTTGATACAAAAAAGGTAGATATAATGGTTTAAACTCTCCTGAATGGTTCATCATATTTCAGGGGCGTGGGAGATGGAATAATGCTGATAATCTATATGCACTCTCATTACATTAGCAAAGAAATTTACGTGTTAATCAGTTTATATTCGACTATTATTCTCTGCCGGTTTGTCTCATATATATATATATATATATATATATATATATATATATATATATATATATATATATATATATATATAATCAGAATATTGAAGATACGTTATGACAGAGCATGACAACACTACACTTCATTAATATAGTGTTTCTCCCCCAGCAACACCTACCAGTTCGACTTGTACTTCAGGACGGACTCTCCCCACGGGCTCCTCGCCTTCCTGCGTCAGGTACTGCGCCTCCTTCTCCTCTCTTCTCTCCTCTTCAGGCAGCTCTTCTAATTGAATGCATAGCCTGATATTTGGTGTCTTCTTCCTATAACTGTTATTAATAGTATTTATTTGGCAATTAACGAGGCGATTTTTAATTCTGATAGTAATAAAGCTAACTTTTCTGATATTAAAAAATCTCTATTTAAATATTGTTTTGAGGCAGTGTTTTCTCACTATTTGATCAACATCTAAAGTGAATGCCTTGTGTCTATAACTATTAGTGTACGGTCACATATGGACCCAATTAACCATTCACACCGTACACAAATAGATGCATTAACTGTGAGGACGGGTTGTTCTAACACAGTACGGATTAAGCCTTATTCAGATCATTTTCTTTTTATTATTATTATTATTCTTACCAAAGAACGAGAAGTGAATATATAAATTAATAAAACCTTGGGGGGACCTCGATATACATTATATATATATATATATATATATATATATATATATATATATATATATATATATATATATATATATACATACATACATACATACATACACAGGCTGCCTATCCCATTACGGGCTATTCATGCCCGTGCCACCTCTTGGGTGGCTTAATCTTCATCAATCATCAACCAGACTTATGAACAAATCCACAATGGCCGTGACGAGGATTCGAACCTACGTCCGGGAGCATCCCAGACACTGCCTTAATCGACTGAGCTACGACAGGGTAAAAGGGTTGAAACCGAAGTTCTACTGAACTTACTGGATCCCGTAGCCTCTCCGAGGCACAAACCAGGCTTTTACACAACACCCCCCCCTGCACCCGAGCTATGTCAACAGGCCGTTCTCCCTCTTCGCCCTTACATCATCACACACAGTAAGTTCAGTAGAACTTCGGTTTCAACCCTTTAACCCTGTCGTAGCTCAGTCGATTAAGGCAGTGTCTGGGATGCTCCCGGACGCAGATTCGAATCCTCGTCACGACCCTTGTGGATTTGTTCATTTGATGCATCACGTTAGTGTGATCTCTGTGTGTGATCAACCAGACTTGATTAATTATTATAATTAATTACCCGTGGACAGGTATCGGCGCCGGAGGAGCCGCAAGGAGTGAGGATCCAGCTGTACATCTTCCTGAAGAGAGGCCACCTGGCAGTCACTCACGTCTTCGATAACACGACTGAAACATTCATCATGGAGAAAGGTGAGAGGATGCTGCATATATCATGCCATTATAGGCACGGGAAGAGCATGCTTTTGGGGCATGTGTGAGGGTTCACTTGTCCCTGAGTACCTGGACTCTTCGTCTAGGGAGTTTAAGTTTTCTTATCCATTATATGTAGGCTTCCCGGTTCAGAAGTGTAGGCCTGCTGTTGCGGAAGACTTACAGCTCCTGGTTCAAAAAGTCAGTTTTGGACTAGGTTTTGGTTTTGGAATTTTTACTGAGAAAAAGTCAGTAAAAAGTCAGACTTTCTGGTCCAGAAATGAAGATCTTTTGGTTCACAAATTGATCTCTTAGTCGTGGAAGTATTGGCCTCCTGGTCCAAAAAGTGTTGACCTCCTTGATTGTGAGTGCAATTCATCATTACAAGGGGACGTGGGTATTATCATCTAAGGAGCGAAAGTGTCATTTTCCAGTGAGTGGAATTGTTTTATCGATTCTCTAGGCTAAGAAGCCCTTCAAGCTTCTACACTGTGATTTTACCACTAGGATAGTGAACGTATCGATGGAATAACTGTTTTTATGCCTCCACGTGTGTGTGTGTGTGTGTGTGTGTGTGAAGACCTTCCAGAGTTTAAGAAAGTTATCGCTGGCCGAGTTGATATAAAACAGATTTCAAGCACTTGAGAGGTCATAAAGAGATCTGTTTCATATCATTACGTCATCTCGTCATTGTTGAGATACTTCCCGTATTTCCTCAGATAATCTGATAACATTCTGAGTGTCGCGGTCGCGCATGTGAGAATCTATGTTTATTATCAGAATTGCTTGACATGTAATTAATATTTTTTTTATCATTGATTTCATCAAAGTGACGACATTACGCATTCACACTGAGGGTTTGCTTTACAAAATTATTTGGGTAAGTATCCACCAGGAAAATGAAACGAAAGTGCCAAACGTTTTCGTGTTTCAACACATGTCAACACATTTATTCCTTCATCACCTGATCGTTTTGATATATATTTTTACTGTATACGTCTAACAACTAATAATATGTTTAATTATTATTACCCTGTCAATAAAATAAGCCCCGTGATAAAATGTAGCACACCATATTGACTCGTGGACTCTGCAGGAGGGCTGCAAGATAGCAGCTGGCACCATGCCATAGTCAAGGTGACGGCAACCACGGGGGATCTGACGGTGGAGGTGGACAACATCCAGGAGAACTTCACCGTCGCCAGCCTCGCAGACCGACCCGGGTACTCCAGGGGCAGCTACGCCCTCCAGGACCTCGCCTCCAGACTCTGGATCGCGGGTAGGTTTCATGTTGCGAAGTCGAAACGGCAAATTTTATTCTTGTTTTGCCAATATGTCTCATTGTTCTGGTTGTTAGCTATACGTTTTTTTTATAACGCTCTTGCTAACTCCAGCCACAACCGTTATGTGTAAATTAGTTGTGAATGAAGATAAATTAGTCAATACATTATTTTATGTTTATTGAAGGTTTAGAGCTCTACAAAGCTCCAGGCTGATCTTTACACTACGTATACTGTAGTATAAAATTAACACCGATAGGCTCTTTTCCATTTCATAATGTGATTCTAATGTATTTTCAAATTACATATACTAAATGAATCATTAAAATTCTAAATATTTGTCAGAGTTTTCAAACAGCCCTGATCTGAAGGTGACTTAAAAAGGTTCTTGACCCTCAAAACAGTAGACATATATACGCATAACTACAAAATATTTTCAATAGCACAATAAATTCAGGATAAACAAATAGTAGGAATAAAAAAAAAAAAAAATTCAAGATGATATTCCTATCATTGTTGCCAGCAATGTATAGTGTGTGTGTGTTTTTGGATACTTCAGGAGTGGACAAGAAGAGCCTGGAGGAGGAGGAGGTGGTGGTAGGCTTGGTGCCGTTCCACGGGTGTATGCGGCAGGTGGGGGTGGCGAGTGGTGGCACTCCCATGGGTATGGTGCCAGTCCGTCCCCTTCTCACCTCCACGCATCATGGCGTCCGGGAACACTGCAACAATAAGTAAGGCACAAATGAAGAGAGAGAGAGAGAGTGAGAGATATGTATTAAAATAATATGCATATATAATTTGACTGAAAATATTACATACGTTAAAATCCATACACAAATTCATTTTCTATTGCTGCAATATGAATGACCAAAAGGTCGCAACCTTATTCCACAACCCTCTAAGATATCAGCTCACTAGTCCTCCACAATCGTCTATTTTAATAGCTCTCTGTCCCTACATCACCTCTTATACTAATAGGTCAATACACCCTCTGTTGTCTTTCATACTAACAGCTCTCTGGCTCTGGACCGTTCTACGTGCTACAACCTCCTTCATATTGTCCCCGATCTCACTCTAGCTAGGTGTCTCAGGGGCTGAGCCAGGGTCAACACCTCAGGTCAACTCTATTTCACCACTCTCTGTCAGCACGGAGTGTGTTGCAGGAATACAGGGAGTTACTGTGGAGAGTAGCACAAGAGTAGCGGAAGTTCACGTGAAGAGTGTAAAATAGTGTGGAGAATAATACTTGTTTAGTGTGACGAATAGTGTAGAGAATAGTACTTGGTTAGTGTGAAGAACAGTGTGGAGAACAGTACTGGAAGCAGAGGACTATCCCATCACTGCCCCCAGTGCCACCTCCCATAGTGACATAACTGCCCTGCTCTTACACCATCCTAACTACTATCCCGTTGTGTTCCTGGTCGTAGCTGCAAAGATCGTTACCGTAACCTGTGCTCCCCGTCATCGCACTGTGTTGAGCACTTCGACCACAGCACTTGCAGCTGCTTCAACAGCGGTCAGGACGGCAGGAGGTGCGCCAACCCTGGTAAGCATCCATGTTGATTGTCCCGTTTCTCCTCTCTACTTATTTTAATTATCTCAATCATCCATTGATGATCAACTTCGCAGATAAGTAACGAAAAGGAGCAGATTGATCCCTTAAAAAAATCATTATTTACTACATATGTATTTAATTTTATATTGAAGTAGAGATATCTAATAACTTATTTGATGATATACAGATCTCTGATCAATATCTTTAGAGGTACATCGTTGTCTCTGGGTCAATCTGGCGTGTTCATAATCCACAACCTCCAGTGTGGAGAGTTCTGATCCACAATCTTCCTCGCAGAGCTGCCAGTGTTGACTTTGAACAGTGAAGGTTACGTGGTCCACCGTATCTACGAGTGGGTGGATCGCGTTCATTCCTACAACAACCTCATCTCCATAGAGTTCAAGGTCAGTTTAGATCAGTATCCCATTCCAGGTGTGGGAGGGGGATAGTGTAAGAGTAAGTTGTGGCCAGGCGAGGGAGGGGATGGGACGAGAGAGTTTAGTAGTTTTTGTAAATTGAGGACATAACTTCGTAGTATATCTGAAGGGGCAGATAAAGGTGGAGGAGCTTAGAAATTTGCAGATGACGAACAAATGTATAAGAAATAAAGAAAATGATTTTCATAATTACAGAGATTGATTATAGGAGAGAGAGAGAGACTGTCACTTAATGACATATAGATGAGAAGATTCTTCTCGTCTGAAAACAGATGAGAAGAATGAAACAATTGAGATTGATCATAGAAGTATCACTGGAGGAGAGACTGCCCTCACAGCCTCACAATTAAAACTTAGTACGAGCTTCCATCTCACAGACAGAGTTTACGAGCTCGATCCTGTTCTACGCCTCGGCCGAGCACCCGGAGAAGCAGCACCTGTCTGCCTCCATCACCGGCGACGGCAGGATTTACTTCGAGGCTGACTTCGGAGAAGGGGTGGTGAGGGCCCTGGTGGGGGAGAGGCTGAACTCGAGCCACTGGTACACCTTCACCGTCATCCACCAGCACGAGAAACTCAAGGTGCGTCCTCCAAGGTCTGAGATGTTCTCATGTAGGAATATATTGGAAAATATAACTCATTTGCTATTTCATTTGATTTGTAATGGTCCTAAATGTTAGTTTTCATCACATACAAATGAACTTATAACATGTCAGACACAAATGTTATTCCTTGGCGTCTGCCACACACAGGTGTACCTGGACTCGAAGCTTAAACAAACTCTCATCGTGCCTGGGAAGGTCCATTACCTCCATCTAGACCCGGACTTGTACGTCGGCAACCTTCCCGGACTTAACCGGTGTAAGTTGATCGAATTGTACCTTTCGTGCTGCCCTTCCAACCTGTTCTCACACGATACAACGGCAGTTAACTAGCCAGTCAGTCAAACTTTTTCCTGTAATGAGAGGTTTATAAAGCAGTGTGCTTCTCTGATATGGTGAGGTGTCTGGAAATCTGTCAATTTTATTTGTATACTGTGTATATTAGGTCAGCTTACGGGCTATTCATGCCCGTGCCGCCTCGTGTGTGGCTAAATCTGCATCAATCAAATCAATTTGGTCAGTGTGGCACTGCCCCCCCCCCTCTATGGTGCTTTCGCATTATAGACGAGCTGCGGGTCCAGACGAGTGCCTGATATAAACATTAGCACCGAAAGGATAAAGGAATATAAAGGATGTGTAGAAAGCCTGTTTTCCACTTCAAGACAGTTCTTATGTATTTACAACAACCCCCAAACAATGATTTGTCCAACCAATGTTTTATTCTTTGAATAATATTTTTAATGACACCGTTCTTGCTATAGAAGATTTTCCCATCCGAAAGAAGTGATAGAAGATTATCCCTCCAACTCATTTTCGTAGATATTTCCATAGAACTGTTCCAAACAGATGTAAATTTCTAGGCAAAAGCACAGTTATTCAGTGAATTATGAACCAAACACGTGCGGTCCCTTGGAGCTGACGAACATGCTAACCACACCACGTGAATTACGTTATTGTGCTTCAGTGTGTGGGCTGACCAAGGACCTGGGCACGCCGGAGTGCCCTCAGGAGGCGCAGCAGCGTTACCACTACGACGTCCACTCCGCCACCTGTCGCCCCTTCAACTACACCGGCTGCGGAGGCAATAACAACAGCTTCGTTGACCACGCCACCTGCATGGACTCCTGCTACACCGTTGGTAAGTTGAGAGGCCCAGCCAACGCTGCCGAGGGAGTTTATTTTGTGACGAGGGTAATTTTTTACATTGAAATCTGCTTATTTCACAGTCAAAGTTTGTCTATTAGTAATATGAAGTTTTTAGAATTTAAAACAAAAACTTAGTTCTTGATGATTTTTCTCGTTCACCAAATACAAATATATTATATATAATACGATTAAAACAGTTCACTTCCGTTGATTCCAACAGTACTAATTCATCGCTAGAATTTGCTGTTTCATTCGCCAATTCATAAAATGCGCCGATTTATATAAACATTGTTGTCTGCCGCTGAGTTTTAATATTGATATGCTCCTACCTGAAACATCTTAACCCCCCCCCCCCTCCCTTGTAAAATCCGTGTCCTAGCTCTACGTAGCCTTAATACACCATAACCAAATGTCCCAAACCCCTATACATTTTAATGTCAGATATTCCATTCACTGTGCAATTCCTGTTTAATACACTACAGTCAACCGTCTCCCAACATACTGTGTGCACTCTGATCTCCCTCTATTACACAATCCACTGTCCCGTCCCGTCTACACAATCACTGTGAAGGGCACACTAGAGCCTCCACCTCTCTTATCACCATCCCTGTAATCTCCCACTGCCCATGCACAACAAATGGAAATAATACTGTATATTCCTACAACTATACGCCATCCTTCACACTTCTACCATATATACTGTCATCTGCACATTGTCGCTTCACCCACACCAACAATCCACAGCTCACTGTTGTCTGTCCATCCCAAAAACCATTGTCTTCTGTTCCCCTCACAAACCAGGGTATACTCTTTCCTATTTCACTAGTCTACCTCACACACCAGTATCCATGTCCAACTATAATCGGCCATTACTCTCTGCTCCTCGTCTTCATCAGGTCTGAGGTCTCTCAATTCCTTCCTGGGTTGCTTGAGGAACGTCTTCTTTAATGACGTCAGCATCCTGCAGCAGCTGCACCAGGGAAACAGATCCACCCGATACATTGGCATGACCGAGGAACCACCTCTGTCAACCACCTGCAATAGGGTAAGACGCAAATCAGGAACTAGGATGAGTTTTAGGATGGGAACTAGGACGTTCTGGGAACTAGGATGAGAACTAGGAAATACGAGGTTGACTATCAGACTTACCACAGATTTTAAGATTGCTCGTGTCACTAACGGAAAAGCAATCTATTGAATCTTTCTTCTTCTTTTGCTTGGAGGACGCATTCCTTGGATATGTTGTGTTAAAGGAACATTAAAATAAGCTGCTGACTGTGTGTAGAATCTGTAAATTTATCTTTTATCGTTTCACCATTTTTTCATAAAGAAATATCTTTTTGTAGAATTATTATTTTGATTATCATGTTGAGAATTTTGTATGTTTCGAGCCGATAGATTTATAAACAAAGATATGTTTTAATTTTTGTTGGATGCTGAAAGATTTTCTTAGTTATTATGCAATTAAACATAATTTTATTGATATAGCACACTTCTCACATAATTATTTATTTCTGCAACTGAGCTAGAACTTCACTTTATTCCTTTATTGAGAAGAACAATTAAACTTGTTCAGAATATTCGGAAAATTCTTTGTAAATACGTATTTTAGATGTTCTGTGCCTCTTGTACACCTTGTACTTCCTCCGCCTCTTGTACACCTTGTACTTCCTCCGCCTCTTGTACACCTTGTACTTCCTCCGCCTCGTGCGCTCCCTGTTCTTCCTCTGCCTCGTATTCTTCCTGTGTTCTCCCATCTGCTGCTCTCCCCCCCCCCCCTGGAGGACACTCCTCACCGTCCTCTCCTCAACAGATGGATGAGGTACAAGTCACACTGTCTACAGCCAGCTCCAGCATTCTCCTGCACAACCATAATCCTAATGATTTCCGACTTAAAGTGTCCTTCAGGCCTACGACACCTCGCAGCATTCTCGCCTCTGGTCAGGTGTACGTTCGTGACACCTGGAACGTGTGGCAGGTGAGTGAGTGGTTTGGTTTCACCTTTGTCGGGTCAAATTATGCCTATTAGGCTCATGGAGTTTTTTTTTTAGAACCACGAATGGTAATTCCCCAGAATACTGACCTCCAATATTTGACTAACTCCCACGTATCTATTTACTGTTTAGTGACCAGAAGCCTTTGGCGTTTGGAAACGTTTCTAACTCTTTGCCCCTGAACGGGGATCGAACCCAGAACTAATCGATTGTGAGCCAACTGAGCCAGCGACTGTTGTTCAATTTTCTTAAGAGAATACTACACAACGTATGTTTAGATATAATGTTGAGGTATGCTTTGTAAGCAATAAGTAACACAAGCTTAGTTTAGTAAACAATGATGAGTTAAAAACCAATAAGTGTAAATGCTTTGACACAAAAACGTCCACAGATGCACTCTCGTACCCACTGAACCACGTGTACAGGTATATACGCGTGAGTATATGAGTATACGTGGCACATATATGCGTGTGAGTATATCAGTGAACACCAAGACGTCCCTGATTAACATTGCCTTCTCTTGCACCCTGCACAGATGCGTCACGACCAGAACTACGTCTATTTTGACGTGCATGACGACGTAGTCCACCTCAAACCCGATGGCAGAATAAAAATCGGCGACTGGCAGTATGTGAGTTGTTTTGATTTATTTCTTAATATAGTTGTGACTTTTAATCAAAATAATATAGCTAATAAATCATACATCTTTCAGTTTTTTTAATTATCACTGTCAATTCTATAGTATTGTTGTTTTGTAGGCACAAAAACGAATGGCTAAGACTAACCTTTGGTTTCGATGTATTTTATGTGATGTAATGTATTTTCTAACTTCATTGTAATATTATTTGTTTTTTTGGGATAATGAATGCAATTATGCAACTGAAGGTTTCTTTCAGTAAGATGTGTACAGAGAACTTAATCAATTTAAACTCTGAATATGATAGTTGAGACGCTTTACTGAGCCCTATTGTTGTTATTTTAGATTCAGCTACTTAGAACACAAGTTCCAAAGTAGCACGGGCTATGGTGAGCCCGTAGAGGACTTACCTGGCACAGGAGCGGGGTTGTAACTGCCCTATTGTGCTTTCACGTATCTTATGCGGATATTTGACTTATAATCTTTATATTACAAATATCTTCCACCCTCTTGAAGTAATATTTCCAGTAACAGCTGTTATTGCTGTTACTGAAACATTGTTATATCCATAAAACAGTTGAAATATAAACTGAAGCTGTCTTTGATTCAATTATTAGTTTTTCGATATTAGCATCATTAATTCTCACTAAGTATAGGAATTACTCATTGATATCTAATAATAATTCTCACTAACCAAGTACAGGAATTGCTCACTGACATCTGACAGAAATTCTCACTAATAATTAAGTAGAATTATTCCTTGACAAATAATATTAATTCACACTATATGAGTAATATAGGAATTACTATTTGATGTGTAACACTAAGAATTACCCCTTGACACCTAACAATGGATCGTTGACGCCTGCAGGTGGAACTGCGGCAGGAGAAAGACCTCCTGATCATGAAGGTCAACCAGATGACCACCTCGAAAAAGACCTCAGGAAGCCTTCAGTTCTCCTCCCAAGTGACCATTGGGGCCAGCATCCTAGGAGACGAAACAGGTGAAATCTGTTTATACACTGAGTGAATGGAACCGATTTCTTGAAAGAGGCACTATTATTTACTTAAGATGTTTTTTTATTGGAAATCCAGAGAAAAATTGTGTGTGTGTGTGTGTGTGTGTGTGTGTGTGTGTGTGTGTGTCTACTTACCAATATGTACATGTGTAAGAACGAAATCCAGCACTCTTAACTATAGTTCCAAAATTAATTACCCGTAAGGCTCCTCTTCTTCTTAGTCTTTAATTTAAATGTGTCAGTGTATCTCCTATGTAAATATATTTACATAGGAGAATTATATATATATATATATATATATATATATATATATATATATATATATATATATATATATATATATATAATATATATTATATATAAAATGATAATAAGTATCATTTGGCAGGATTTATTGGGTGCTTGAGGATGTTGGAGTTAGGAGGAGAGATGGTGAACTTGCGCTCCATCGTGGGAACTCCCATGGTCAGCAAGGACGTCACTTTTGACAACTGTCAGGTCAGCTCCCATGGCTTCTCTGGGCCTTGATGCCTTTCTCTTTTGTCTTGAGAATGTTTTCACTCAAAACGTTTTATCTTGTGTTTGTCTTAACACTCTCTCATACTTGGTACAAATATTTTAATCCAACTCTTCTCATTTTTGTTATTTCTTTACACAAACTTAACAATTAAAACGTGTACGAACTAGTGTGCATTTGTCACTTCGTCTAAAGCTGAAGTCTGTCAAATTCCTTCTGCATGTCGGCCTTGAGTGAATAATTGCTCTCATAATAGAACTGTCGACAAATTTGCTTTCATTGTTGTTTGCACAATATGAAGATCACAATTTATTTGTTATACAATAAAGGCTCTATGTCAGAACACCGAGGAACACCACATTAAAGATCATTCTATGTAGGTTTCTATCAGTTTATGGTAATTCAGTGTTTCCAATCTCCAATGATATCTTCTTCAGCTTTATTCGTCCTTCGCATCTTCCATGGTCCTCCATCATGGAATATTGCACCACAAAACAATCGAGATTTTCCTTATAACTTTACAAACTATTCCTTTTCATACTCAATGAAATTACAGTAGTGTGATATATATAAGAGAACATCTTTGGAGCAGGGTGATGGGATCGTACCGGCGTTCTGGGTCACCGCAGACGCCACATATCAACGAAGTGCTAAAAGGCGGTGAATCGATCCCTCCGTCCTGCTCCAAATAATGTGTTATGGATATTTCACGTTACTGTGATTTTTATTTTATATTTTATCTTCAATTATTTGTCGTATTTGGCTGTCACAAACTCCTGTTGATGTATGCAGGTGTTGGGCCCTTGTGAGCGGCCAGGGTCGTGCGGACACGGAGCCCCTTGTACCGTGGCTGGGGATGGTGTCCAGTGTAACTGCTCAGGCACGGGCTACACGGGCAAAACGTGTCACTTCCGTACGTACCCCACAAAACTTCTTCTTCATTCGTAATATATATATATGCATCTCAACCGACACGGTGTCATACCCTTCCCATATTATCATAATGACTAAACACGATAAAAAGTATAGTTTTCAGGCACATTGTTGTTTTTGTTGTGTCATATGTTGATATCTATGACAGTGATGTATCTCAATTTTGGTCTGTGTTATTGGGATTTCCTCAGCGTTGTATAGGAAGTCGTGTGAACAGTACCGCCAGATCGGCTACAACACGTCAGGGATCTACAAGATCGACGTGGACGGCAGTGGTCCTCTGCCTCCCGGCTTTGTCAGATGCCTCTTCAGCGAGCTGACGGGGGAGACCTTCACCATCATCGAACACAACCTGCCGCAGAGTTTTGTGAGTGTTGCTGAAGTTTAGTGTGTGTGGGTCTCAGAATTATGGGTTTTGAGGAATTGTGAGAGTATCGCAGAATTATGAGAGTTGTAGAGCTGTTTCTGAGTGTTGCAGAATTGTGGGATTATTGCATAGTTATGGGAGTTGTAGAATTATGTGCGTAGGAGACTTAATTGTGTGTGTTGCTCATTTGTTCTATCTTTGCATAATTATGTGAATGCTTCGTAATAATGTGATAGTTGCTGAATTATATGACTTGCATAATTACACGAAGTGCACATCTATTATTAGATACAATAGCGGTCTAGCTAATTACTCGGTACACACACACACACACACACACACACACACACACACACACACACACACACGATACTCTGCAACACAAGTATAACAATACCAAACAGTGGAAGACTAATAAACAGCTTGTCTGTTGTCTCTGCTAACATCAGGGGTTCTGATCACTAGACAACTCACACAACTAAAGAATAACAACTGAAGACAGTAGATCGGTCCCAAGTAACTTTGGACGAATTAGAAAATAATTCAAAGAATAAAAAAATTATTTATAATAGTAATAACAGCAATATTAAGTGTGTGGGTAAAAATAATATTAGGGCATATAATGATTTATTTTTGTAGAGTTTAACACTTACAAATTAAATTAAAATTGCTGAATGTTATACATAATAATTCAGAAAACTGATATAAATGAAGGTTATTGAACATGGTATTGAACCTCCCACTTACAGGACGTGAGGAGACCGAAGATGTCCAGCGTCCAGATCAAGGTCCACTACAGAGACTTCTCCGACGATATGCTTAAGGCGTTGGTTAGCCAATCCAAGTCCTGTTCTCAGAAGGTACGCCACCACACCACACGGAAGACAAAACACTTTCATGAAACTGATATAAGTATTAATTTAGTAACAGAGTCCTGTTGTAATGTTGCACGCGCTCAACATTTAAAATTGTAATAGTGGCTAAATATGATAATATTCAGCGATAAATTGAACACGATAATATTCCTGTATATATATCATTTTAATAATTTAGTGATGATATTTGTTAACTTCGTCATAAGAGTAAATATTTTGGCCATTATTTAAGTGATAAAAACAATTAGTATTCGTGACTAGTTTTGCTAACTCTATTTTGAGGGTTGGGGATCCAGGAAAGTGCATATAAACCTATTCAATATTCATATTGATAATAATTTTTCTTTATTGCTCTAAAATTTTTGTTTTAATATATAAACGACATCAAATATTTTAATGAGAATTTTAAGGAGAATAGATTTTTTGATGATATTTGATGTCCCTTATTATTAAATGTTTAACCAGTCACGGGCTGCGAAGCACAGGCCTTATGTATGTTAGAACAAAATATGTATATTAAGATAAATTTAGTATATTAACAATTTACATTTTAATGCACGGTTGTGGGAAAGCAATGGTCTTGCAGTTAAATTTCCAATTCCAAAGACGATTATTAATTGTTTTATCACTAAATTAAGTCATTGAAACTTTGAGATGATGATAAAATTTATGACATTTTGTCTTTGTATGCAATTGAAACCTAAGTACGAGTATTTACATGTTTCTCGCGTAGAATGAAGTGCACGTGACTACTGTTTACATAGTTGAATTAAAGGTCTGAGATGGAACGGATTATTATAAGAAATATTATATTAATGCTGAAGTGTGTAAGAAGTATGATGTTGGTTCCCTCAGGCGAGGTACAACTGCCGGAGGTCCCCTCTAAGGCTCTCCACCATGACCTGGTTCTCCTCCCCTTCAGAGAAAATTATCACCAGCTTCGGGGCCAAGACTCCTGGGTTGTGTAGGTGCAAAGGTCAGCAGCAAGTGGGACACATCCTACCTGGCCTTCCTAAAGTAACAAAACCTTTATTTGACTCTCAATATGACATGACAGATACAGTTCACGAATGAATCTAACTTTATAAATATTTGCATTAACTCCATATATATATTTCACGTGAATATATTTATCAAATTTGCTTTATCTTTAGTAAGAATTGGCATTATTATTAACACATTTAACACACACATTATTAACACGTTATTTCTTGTAACGTATTCAACTATACTATCAATACGTCCACTGAAAGCATTTTGAAGACATTTGGATTAATATTTCTGCATTATTGTTCTTTTGCATTTTATATTAGCTTAGAACAGAGAGTCCACTTTTAATATAAAATATATAATATATTAGACGTATGTGTGTGCTTATAGAAATGAGATCGTGTGACAAGATGGACATCCCGTGCAACTGTGACGCTAACGATGGGCTTCCAAGAGCAGACAAGGCGGTGATCACTAACCCCAGACACCTGCCTCTCACCTCCATGGTCTTCCTGCAGGATCATCAAGGACAGCGAGAGGACACCGAGGGACTCATCACGCTAGAGCCCCTCAAGTGTGTTAGCGACGGTAGGTCCTGAGGCTTTATCGCAACACCTGCTTTCAAACTGAGCCCAAATTCATGTTCTTCTATCCACCACGGCTCTAACTTTATGAAGAGTCCATCCTGAACAATCCTTACACTGAATTTTTCAGTATATTTAATCCTCTATTATGTTACTCTAGCTTATCCAGGCGAGTACCAACCCCAACCACGGGACTACGGTGAATGAGGTAACAATGATGTATTCAGTGAGTACTCAAACTCACAAAGAAATCACATTATCGTAGTGTATCAATGAACAATGTCATAGGTTCGAACCCTCATCACGACTTCTGTAGAGTCGTATAATACTCAAACTGTATTTTTGGTCTATTACCCCACACACACAGTTCTGGAGGGGCAGACGGTGGCCTTCAAGCACTCCGGCAGCTTTCTGGAGGTGCCGGCGTGGCGGGAGGGCAGCCTCTTTCTCAGCTTCAAGACCACCTCCAAGAAGGCGATAGTGGCCTACCAACCAGCCTACCACCCAAGTCACGCCAGTTTCAAGGTCGCTCTCGTTGGAGGTCAGCTGATTGTCCTTTTTTTGTTATTTGTTGATATCGTATTTCCACAAATGTAAGTAAAATAGTATTAAGATTTAACGAAGAAATGATACAAATATAAATGATAAACGTATGGTTACTATATGATTTTTTTTAAACGATAACTATGTGGTTTATATAAAATCACACATAAAAATATTAAAAGGCATTGTATTATAATTTCATATATATATTATATATATATTATATATATATATATATATATATATATATATATATATATATATATATATATATATATATATATATATATATATATATTATATATATATATATATATATTATATATATATATATATATTATATATATATATTATATATATATATATATATATATATATATATATATATATATATATATATATATATATATATATATATATAACTGAAAACTCACACCCCAGAAGTGACTCGAACCCATACTCCCAGAAGCAACGCAACTGGTATGTACAAGACGCCTTAATCCACTTGACCATCACGACCGGACATAATGAGGTGATAGCTGAGGCTATTTGAACCACCCCACCGCCGGCACTCGGATAGTTATCTTGGGCATAGCATTTTACCAAATCACCTCATTCTTAGTTTTCAGTTGCATATTGTCCAGGGGACCATTCTGGCTTGTTCGCATATATATATATATATATACATGAATGACATAAATTTTACAAATTATACTTCCTCTCGTGGCGACGAAGTCTCGGTATTAAGCCACAACTCTATTACCATTAAACACCATCGAATCTGTAGGTAGCAGCGCTGATTGGAAATTATTTGCATGATAATTTTTCTTAACGGTGTGAGGCTTGATAGGCCGTTGAAGGAAGGTGCCTCAGAGGAATTAGTTACATTCTTCGAAATAATTCTCCGTACTAAATATTGATGCTTTTACTCACAAGTTTTATTTATACCAGAATTGATGTCAGCGTTAACATTTATTTTGTCATCAAATCACTCATTATTTTGTACCTTACTCGACAGATAAGGAGGTGGAGTTCATGTACAGGTTTCGGGACCAGATCTACCGGCACCGCGTGGCGTCCAGCGGTCGCCTCAACACCGGCCGGTGGCAGCAGCTGCACATCGACATTCATGACTACCAGATGCGTCTCGTCCTTAATTCTGACGAGGGTCTCATCGACATCGACAGAAATGTCAACCTCGGAGTCCTCGATGGCTCCATGTTCCTGGGGGCCATCCCTCAGTAAGTGCTTGGAGTAGATGTATGCATGTATGAATCTCGTATATGTATGTCTGTTTGTATATTTAATACATCTCATTCACTTCCTTGCCTAGCAACAAGTCTGTCCAATTATGCTCACTAAAAATTTTTCTAAGGTTGCCATAATGTCCTCTCCTAAAGTCAGGTTTACTGACTTTAGTGTGTGTGTGTGTGTGTGTGTGTGTGTGTGTGTGTGCGTGTGTGTGTGTGTATTTGTCTATCTTCCTCTCTTTTTTTTTGTCATTTTATGTACATGTGTTTTATGAGAGAGGGAGACAGACATAAGTATTATAAGCTATGTAGAAGAATATGTATTTATTATATTATTTAATTATTAACAGTTAATGCTTTCCTATAACTTGAACAAATATTCTACTTTTTGTCTTGGGTAACTTACGTGTCTTTTGAGCAGGCAATTCCTGACTGAGGAAGATAAGCAGGACAAACTGGAGGGCTTTATCGGCTGCATCCGCGGGCTGGCCCTCAACGACGAGCTGGTGGACCTGAAGGCGTTCGTCAGAGCCTCGGCTAATGGGGTCAGTTCGGGCTGTTCGCCTTCCTGCGACCCCAACCCCTGCAGGAACGGTGCATTGTGCCTTGAAAGCTGGGGAACGTATCAGTGCAGCTGTAAAAACCCTCTCGCTCACTCTGGAAGAAACTGCGAAAATAGTAAGCATATCTTTTCTTACGGTTCATAAGCCCTTTAGAGTTTTTCTGCTCTGTAAAAAAAAAATGGGGTCAATGAAAGGTGTTGGTTTTTGTGTTATATTGTTTGCTCTCTTGATCCATTGCTGAAATATTTAAGAGACACTAGACCTGACTGTCGCATAGGCAGTACTAGAGCCAATGTTTTCTGTTATGCTGATGGTTCAAGAGGCATCTCTCTCTTGAACTGGGCTCGAATCCCACAGATAAACGCGGTATTATGAATCTTCATAATAGCTGTAAAGTATATAATACACAAATCTTATATTAACATCACATGTACTCGCATATTCTCTCCCATTTACAGATATCAACGAAGACGCCCTCACCTTCACCACGGAGGACTCCAAGTTCAAGTACTTTTTGGACGACATAGAAAAACTCGGGGACAAGAATCTGCTCAAAAACAGTTTTCTTATCAACTTCCGCACTCATGTGAAGAAGGGACTTATTCTCTTCGCTTACGACTATCTCCACAACTTTGTACAGTTGTACTTAGCCCAGGAGAACGAGGTGGTGTTCCTCTACAACCATGGCTCTGTGGTGAAGAAGCTGGCGGTGAAGGCTCACAATGGCGGTTAGTCTCTCATCTGTGACTGTTTAAGTCACCTGTTCTCATCTGTTTCCTCATCTGTTGACTGATATTTGGCTTGTGTGTGTATGTGTGTGTGTGTGTGTGTGTGTGTGTGTGTGTGTGTGTCTTTGTAGTTTGATTAAATTACTAAATTCTCTTATGTTCTAACCCAAGCTTCTTATTTACAGCTTTAGCACTTAATAAGCTTTTCTGACATCTCTGTGACTCATACGTGTCACAAGTTTCAATCCATGACCGTTCATTCTGCTGTTTTTGGTCTTAAATATCGCTTCTTTACCTACTTTGTCGATTTTTCTTTGAATAATATTTGTCGTTATAAAGAACATGTTACTCCTTTACTTCAGTTCGGTGACGTCCAGTTAGATAAGTTTTCATAAGAACTAGATCCCTTCAACTAAGGAATGGGCCCTTGATGCATATTTTTATGTTCTCTTCAATTTTGTGTGTGTGTGGTGTTCCGTGACTGTATTCTCAAGAATAGATTTCAAGTAGGTTCATTTGTCCAAATTCTTGTTGGATATATGGACGCATATCTTGTTGGATATACAGAAATGATACAGAAAATCTGAAAAAAATTGTAGGAACCGTAGAATAAGTGATTAGATCACAGAACAGAATACAAGTCGGAATTATGATGCATTTGTGCTAAAACTGGAGCGGACATGACACAGAATCCATTTGTCGGTCAATCATCTATAATTTCGATAATTGGAGTCTGACACACTCATCACCTCCGTTGTTTACAGTGGTGTTCAACAAGGGGCAGTCCGTACAGCTGTCAGTGACCCGGACGGCCGCTTCCACTACTGTCTCCGTCTACACCGACGGCGCCACCTTCAACGCCTCCCTGGACGCCGGCGTGTTGCTTCTACAGGACCACGAGTACAAGCAGTTCCCCTTCGGTGCTAGACAACCTCTGCCCGAGATAGTGTACTACCCGCACTCGGTCACCAAACCCACGCATTTCTTCCAGGTGATTGTATTCAAAGGATTTTTTTTCTTTTTCTGGTTCTTGTCGATATTTTTTATTAAAAAATAACAAAAATAATAATACTAATAGTAATAATAATATAATAATTAAAATATAAACAGTAATAATTATAATACAAATAAAAATGTTATTATTACACAGAGTAATCACACTAACGTGACTACATCAATAAGAAAATCCGTAGGAACAGTGATGAGGATTCGAACCTATGAAATGGGTGTTCCCACGCACACGCTTCTAGCGACTAGACCATGACATGGTAATAAGGACTGTAACCCGAGTTCTACTGAACCCACAAGAATTTTCTGAGGCTTATCTCACGAAATATCAATTACCTATACGAGAGTGCTTGGGGGGGGGGGGTTATAGGTAAAAACCCCTGGACTTGGAACTCAGTGGAATATTAGGTTGTAAAACTTATGCCATGTCTTGGTCCAGAGGAAAGGTGCGTGGCTTGGGAGAACCCAGGTCAAGGGTTCGAATTCTCTGCATGGATCCAATAGATTTTCTCATGGATATCACGTTAGTGATTTCATTGTGTATTATTTATTATTATTATTATTATTATTATTATTATTATTATTATTATTATTATTTCTACCTGGTTGGTGGTGTATTAAAACCTAAAACAAAGGTTATAAACCCACAGGTAAACCAATTAAAACAGGTTTTCATGAGATTCACAAACAGCGAATATTGTAATGAAAATTATGCAGATACCCTGAATATTTAATATTCACATTTTACCCATAAACATTAACATTTCCGACCTAGGCCTACCTGGGCTCAGGCAGCGACAACGAGTTCGATGTCACGTCTGTCATCCCGGGTATTGTGGGCTGCGTCAGAGGCCTTAAGATTGGCTCGAAGGTCATCTCCCTGATCGACCTTTACCACAAGTCGACATTCCCTGGTAAGTGATCGAGAAAGGTCTCCTTGAGTTAGGAAGGAAATCCATTTTTTTTTCGCCCATCGACTCGAAAACTCGAAGTGCTCATCCACTTATGCATTTTATTATCCGGATAAAATTAACACCAAATCTTACAAATTGGTTTATTTACATCTAAGTTTCTTTCTTACTGTTCGAAACGGACCTCATATAATATCCCGTGTCACGTCTGTCTCTTCCCTGTGGTGGTGACGGTGGGGCCGGACAGTGGACGGCATCAAGGTCAACTGTACGATGGCGTGCGACCGGCGGCCGTGTCTCAATGGTGGGGTTTGTACCGAAGACTTCCACTACTTCAACAACTTCCAGTGTGACTGTACCGGAACCTCGTACACTGGCCCTACTTGTGTCGGCGGTGAGTAGTGCACTGTGTACTGTGTGTGTGTGTGTGTGTGTGTGTGTGTGTGTGTGTGTGTGTGTGTGTGTGTGTGTGTGTGTGTGTTGCATTTGGGTGAATGGTGATGATGGACGCGGGAGATTTGAAGGGGAATGTGATGGTGGAGGTTGTGTTAAGGTACCAGATGATGAGAAGGTATCAGCGTAAAGACAGAGACATTAATGAAGCAAAGGCTAAGGATGTTATACATAACTCTCGTCCATTCTCATCTTAAACACTGTACAACATCATGAAGAACACCAGAATAACTGGAGTCTGATTATTAAATGGCTGTTCTCCAATTGCAGGAACTGCATGTGGCCTCCACAAAACAAAAACAGAGTAGTTAAATATTTCTAATTAACATCACCGATGCATATATTTGTGTCCAATATATTGAGCTGATCAAGTGATGTAAATCCATCATATGTTGACTCGAGCGGACCTCCTACCGTGAACTCCGTTCTCGCCATGATCTCTGAACTCTCGCTACGAGCAATAATGATCTCTTAAGCACTATTTCCACCATGAACTAATTTCTTCACACTGAGAAATGTTCGTCTTGCTAGTGTGATCTTGCCACAAAGAAAATGGTTTTCAACCTGAGCGCTGTTCCCACCGTGATTCTTGTGTCCGTTCTGGGCAATGTTGCTCTTAGGACGTTGTTCTATATCAGTACCACTAAAACATTAAAACAAGCACTAAGGAACAGTGTAATCATAAACAATGATGCAGGCGATGAGTCACAATAACGTGGCTAATGTATGGTGACCAGACCACTCACCAGAAGGTGAAGGGACAACGAATGGTCCAGGACGGACCGAAACGTCGTCGTCCCTTCACCTTCTAGTGTGTGGTCTAGTCAACATAAACAATGATCCTACAAGGATCGATGATCCTACGATGAGCAATGACTGCATTATTAAAAATGTTTTCTTTTTTGGGGGGATGGACAGAGACTTCGTATATCTTCTCTGGTCATCAATGGATCAGCCAGGACGCGGCCACTTCTCCCATCAGGAAAGACTTCAGATTCGAGCTGGCATTCTCCACCTCCGTGCCAGGCTCACGGCCCCAGCTAGTTGCTCTCCTCCGTTCCACAGACCTCCAGTATGTCTACGACTGTGTCTAGAGCTTTACCTGAACACTGATGCAAATATTATATTGTCTATTAAACTTAATTACATTCTGTTTGATAATTAACACGCCGAATGACAACAGTATGAATACCTAAGTTTTTCCTCCCAACAGAACGGCCCACGACTACTTGCTGGTGGCAGTGGAGTACGACGGGTCGCTCCTGGTGGAGGCGCAGCTGTCGGACTTGGATCGGGATATGGTGTGGGGGACCAAGGTCATTCCTTCCTCACACAACTTTAATGCTTTTGATGGCCACAGACATTACGTCTTCGTGGAAAAGACGAAAAATGGGCTCACTCTGAAGGTATGGGATCATATTTATTGAATTACTAGGAGTTTAGTTAATGGACTTTTTTACAGACAAAATATAGCATGGCAATAATTAATTTGATATGAAATTATTACCACAGATACTCATTTAAAATCAAAATTTTGTTGAGATATATATATATGATTATTTCTAGGTGTTACTAAATAAATAAATTTTTAGATCCCTCTGAAAAACCTGAACAATTTTTATTCTTTCGTCAAAATAAAATACGAAATAGAGACAAAGAACAGGAACTTATTTTCCTCACCTGGTCATAGGAGTATCTAGTGGTTATCATAGAACAAGTTATTGTCGTCTCCTGCAGACCCAGCCACTTGGACTTGTTGGTACAGCAACGGCCTCGCTCTTTGCGGGTCGGCGTTCTATCCCCGATGACCCAAGAGGTTGGGCATCATATTCCCTCACCACGCCCTCCATTACACTCCATGTGCCAAAGTAATCATAGCTTAGTTCTTAAGCCATGATTAAGGCTTATAACTCCTCATAACTTCCTTCCCTTCCCTTTCTCTCTCTCTCTCTCTCTCTCTCTCTCTCTCTCTCTCTCTCTCTCTCTCTCTCTCTCTCTCTCTCTCTCTCTCTCTCTCTCTCTCTCTCTCTCTCCCTCTCTCTCTTGCATTGTAAATTACATTATCTGGCGAAGATGGAGAGTTTGACCTTGACCCACACGTTGTAGGTTGACAGGGAGGAGAGAGACGTCTTCCCGCTCCATAACATCTTCGTGGGTGAGACGAGTGTGAGGACCACCCCGACGGGGCTGTACCTGGGAGGGGTGGAGGCTGGTGTCGACGATCGTCTGGGCCGCTTCGACAGCTTCCACGGTTGCATCTCTAGTGAGCTGAACCACAGAGATGTGTTGATGTTTTGCTAATTTTGATGCTGAGCTTTCTAGCTATCCAGTTTTCTCAACAATATCTATGTGCATATTTTGGTGATAATTGATATTCATGTATTAATTGTAAACATAATTTAGGGTTTCGGTTAATGATTCTATTTGACACTAACTTGAGATCATTTACGAGAGTGGCGAAGTGTTTGTACAGCTTTGTGTTTGCCCGTAGACGTGAAGGTACGCACTCCCGACGGGGAAGTGGCACCACTACAGCAGTACAGCGACAGTGACATGCACCTCAGGAGCAGCGGGGTGCCAAGCTTCGGCACCTGTGCACCGTTCGCGGGTGCCCCTGGCGCCCTGCCCGTCCACACCAGCAGTCTCAATCTGTCCGGGGTGAGAGAGACTCAAATTTTGGCATTAGAACTGAAATTACAAGGGTCTTTGAAGACAAACAGTTGCATGATGTATATAAATATTCTGTTTCTTTCTAAGCCAACATTAATAGATTGCATTCTACTTCTGAAATACCTGTATTAGCATCATCATATTTACTCTTGAAAACCTTAGTATAACAGCGAAATCCTTCAAAACCATTTACTCTGCACGATGAAGGAATATTAAGACCTTATCATGTATATAAACCTCTGGTGTTCTTTTTCATCCCTATCCTCCATCCCTCCCACATACAATTATCTGCTCCTGTGTTAGTATAAGCTCCCGTGTACCACTGTTGCTGCTTCAGGTGATGGGAGAGGACTGGGCCTTCAGGACTGCCGAACGGGTTCCCTTGTCGCCCAAGATGGTCTCATCCACACACCCGGAGAGAGACACTCCTATGGACAATAGTGAGTTGTTATATTTATATATTTATATATATATATATATATATATATATATATATATATATATAATATATATATATATATAATATATATACAGTTGCATATTTAGATGCAACTGATTATATAATTATATTTCATATTTAGATGTGTGTGTGTATAGATCACAAAGAAATTAACACGTGATGACTAATGTGAAAATATTTGACCACGAAGAAAAAATTAAGCCAGAAAGGATTTCCATGAATAGTGCCCAATCCTTGATCGTCCAAGTGATTGGACACTATTCCATCCCTTTGTCCTATCCTAAATCCTAATTCCATTATTCCTTCCAAGTGATGTATATTCGTAATGTCTTAGTGCTTTCTCTTCATAATTACCGTACCTTATCTTTCGTGTTAATCAACACAATATCAAAAGTACCAATTTGGTGATGAAGGTGGCACTCTAGGAAAGGCCTAAAGTTCCATTTGAACAACTGAGATGTCTCTCTGGATTCCTTTCTTATTGTGGATGCTGGTGGCTCAGTAGGTAGAGCAGTGGGCTGCTGCTGCTGCTTGTGTGGTCTGCAGTAATTTATTGGGAATATTTTTGTTAATCTAAGAATATTAATTTTCTCCTCGGATATAATACTCACTGGGCTCCTTTCTTCTCTACAGTTGTCCCGGCCGTTGCTGGGGGAGTTATTCTCGTTTGCTTCATCATCGTCATCGTCATCGTCCTCAGGACGAGGAGGAAGAGTAAGCACAGGAGACTCACATCTGACGAAGAAGAGGCTCGACCCCTCTTCAATGGCAGCAATGTCGACAGGCAAAATGTAAAGATTTTACTAGGTTGATTTGTTAGAGTCTACCGTGTGTGGTGTTGATTCGTGAGAGTCTACCGTATGTGGTGTTGAGTTGTGAGTCTTCCTTGTGTATGACTGACCTGGTGAAGTCTGTCATGTATTGTGTGGACCTCTCGGAGCTTAACATGAATTGTGTTGATATGGGAGGGAGGGAGGGAGCCGGTCGGCCGAGCGGACAGCACGCGGGACTTGTGATCCTGTGGTCTTGGGTTCGATCCCAGGCGCCGGCGAGAAACAATGGGCAGAGTTTCTTTCACCCTATGCCCCTGTTACCTAGCAGTAAAATAGGTACCTGGGTGTTAGTCAGCTGTCACGGGCTGCTTCCTGGGGGTGGAGGCCTGGTCGAGGACCGGGCCGCGGGGACACTAAAAAGCCCCGAAATCATCTCAAGATAACCTCTCAAGATATGTAGGAGTTTACCTTGAGTTTTGTTAACATGACGAAGTGAACCTTTCGAGATGTTGATATGCATATGTGCAGAGAAACCTTAATAATATACATTGGTGGTACTGAAATGGTAAGTCTTACATGCTGCTTTGATATTCTAAGAAACCGTGGGTGTAGGAAACTGGCTTGTGAAGTATTCAACAAAAGCCTGCGTATAACACTGTCTTGTATGATAACTTCTATATGCGAATCTTGTATGATAATTTTTACAATTTTAATTTTTCTTGTGTGGTGTTGTGCTTACTTGGGAGAATTTTGTTTTATTTGTCGATAAAATTCACTCCAGTTATTTAGCAGTAGAGCAAACATATATATTATATAGGGTAGTGCCACCTCTGGTTGGAAAAGGTGTCTATAATCTCTAGAAAAAAAAGGGACATACAAAACATTAGAGGAGTTTTTTAGGTCCTCACCCATGCAAATTCCATTTTTTCCTTAAATTATGAATATAAATTTTTATGAAAAACATTATATATATATATATATATATATACACTATATATATATATATATATATAATATATATATATATATATATATGCACAGACTACCCTATTCCAGTAGCTGAAGTTTATAACTTTTTAGACACTCAACCCACCAGGGGACTCGAACACTGGCCAACAAGGTGGCAGTTGCATGCTGTATCCACTACGCTATACTTCAAAGCCATTAAGAGAGGTAGGAATTCTGGGGTATTTAACCAACCAGAACTCAAATCAACTTCAGGGCTTTGAAGTATAGCGTAGTGGATACAGCATGCAACTGCCACCTTGTTGGCCAGTGTTCGAGTCCCCTGGTGGGTTGAGTGTCTAAAAAGTTATATATATATATATATATATATATATATATATATATATATATATATATATATATATATATATATATATATATATATATAAAAGTTTGTGAGGGTACCACCTCTGGTGCCAATGTGGGGACCCATAGCCTCGGAGAAGAAAATAAAAAGTATTCAGAGGAGACCTTGTGGTTTCTCACTGAACACTAATATTATCTTCTCCTACCACCCCCATTCTTTTGTATGTACACATATATATTTACTTTATTTGAACTTTGTTACAAAAAAGGAGTTACATATAGGTTACAAAGATGGTTGTCATAGGTTGTCGAGTTCCTCCAGCTCCTCAGATGGCGGGCAGGAACCCTGGATGCAGTGCGCATTTCCCCTCTGTATCGCCACACTGAGGCGCTGGAAAAGAAAGCTTGCAGCTCTCGGGTCCCTTGTTGTTTCAATGAGCCTAGATATATATATATATATATATATATATATAATATATATATAATATATATATATATATATATATATACTATATATATATATATATATATATATTATATATATTGTGTATATATATATATATATATATATTATATATATATATATAAAATATATATTCTCATCAGAAGTATAATTAGTTGAATCAAGAATTCTATGCCTGATACAGAAAGATGAATGACAATTATATTTTTTTCTCCTTTCTCAGAGTGTTAAAATCGTTAAAATGTCGGAGAAAGAGATGGTGCCGTTGATATCGAAGCCGGATCATGACGATGTAATGGAAGGTAAGCACTACTGCTTTATATTTTAAACTTTCTCTTGAAACTAACGTTAAATTAAGCTGCTTTATTCCAGAGTTCTATTTTGTAAACAGCGTTAAATTGTCTTGTTTCAATATTGGCATTTATGAAACTAACAATAAGCTGTGTTGCTTATTCGGTTGGTATTAAAACTATAAATTCTGGAGCTTTTCTTATTGAATTAAATATAATTCCTACTCCTAGTTTTCAATGCTAATTTAGTAAGCGATGAAAGTAACTAATATTTCTATATTCACTTAGTCGTAAAAAGCAAATTCCTATAAGAAGAGTAACTGTTATTCAATTTGACCCACAAGATACGCCATTATAAAACATAGAAGAGTGAAAATATTGTTTAAACTTATTTTTATAAACTAGTATTAACACACAAAATTAGTTCATGCAAGACATCAACAAGCCAGTCAGTGACGGTAGTTGCAGTGAGATTATCATGTTATCCTGTCAGGGATCACGGCAGGTGTGCAAGCGATACCTGCACCAGATGTGGACACCAGGCAGCACGAGGCGTCTCCTCAGAGGACCACAGAGGGACAGGAGGCCACCACCAAGCAGGAGCCCCTGGATGCTGTGCAGGTGCGTAGAGTGCACGACAGTGACGGTGGAGGTGGTGACGGAGGTGGTGACGGTGGTGGTGACGGTGGTGGTGAGCGACCTCTCTCTTGGGACAAATCTTGTGACACTCTTCCACTTACCATCGGGAACCAGGTGGGCTTCATTTAACATTTCCTCTTCCACTGTCGTTCATGTTCCTCTTTCTGTATATATATATTCTACCATTCTTAAAGTATCTAAATTCTGCAAAGACAACGTATTATTACTAAGTATTTGTGGAAGATTATACACGATCTTTTAATGTTACTCTACTCGTCTTGTACCTGTATGTATATTTAAATATATCACCAACCAAATGGCAGTCTTCAACCAGACCATATCGGATATTATATGTAAATAGTGATTCTTATCTGACCCTCATCGTTCAGGGCGAGCCAGTGATCTGTCAGCCCACAGGAGACAGTAGCTCGGAGAGCAGTATTGACTGCACCATTGACATCAACGACTCGCCCGCTTCCTCTCCTTCAACCCCAACCAAATTGGTAAGGACTTACGGTCAAGAGGAGGAGGAGGAGACCCGTGATGAGGGCGAGGACGATGTAGATGCTGTTGTAGTTTTAACCGGGGTAAAACATAGGCAGTTTGATATTGAGTACGGCTCCCTTGACGCTGTTGTTCACTGGGATGATGAGAGCAGCGATGGTTGGCACGATTTGTCCTTCAGTGGAGGTGGTGATAATCCCGTTCTCTCTGAGACGGATATTAAAGAAGAAGCATACGTTTGGGATAAGAATAGTTTATCTTCTATTAGTGATGGTATTAGCCTCGATGCTTTAAATCGTGCACTTGACATCAGTCTTGTTCCAAGTATGGAAGAGTTGCTTGGCAGTGGAAGAAACAGCCTCAGCACTTCAGAAATTTCCTCTGAAATCTCTGTAGAACAATCCAAAGATCTGTCGGAAAATATTAAGGAGAATATTAAGAACAAAACCACTGGAAATTCTGAGCCAAAATGATCCTCAGGTTTCCCAAGATGATCAAAATGCACTAGATGATGATGTAGAATGCACTGTTTACATATTGGCAAAGTCAATAGTTTGTTTACAGCTTCTTAAGTGAATTCTAAGATGAGAGTATTCCCTGACACAAAAAATACCATGAGAATTCAGAATAATAAGTAATCAGTTGATGAAATCTCATATGCAACTTAGTAAATTGGCTCTGATACTGACAGGGTTTAATATTGGCTTTGAGCTAGTCATTTAGCATTAGTCAAGCCTCTGGAGAAATGGAATTAAACAGTGAACAAAAATATTAGTCAGTTATAATAGGAAGTAAGGTCGCAAGCTGTGCTTGTTAATAGATTAGTTTATCAGGTATTACAATTTGGCTCTAAGAGGGGATAAGTTATAATTATGTCTTCTATGCCTAACTTTACGCATTAAAAAGCCTGATCTTTGGATTTACTGACCAGGAGGCCAATATTTGTGGACTACTTAATTAAAGGCATCTGCGCATTGGCTGTCTGTAGTTGCTCGTATTGTCCTCTATTGCTTTCTTACTTGCCTTACTTGTGCCTCTCTGCCGTGTCCTCTTTCTACCCTTCCGTTGTCACTATTACGTATATGCGTACTGTGGACACTCTCTTTCTTAATGTACATCTATGTCTCTCAGTGCAAACTAGTCGCAATGGCTCAGCTACACGGTAAGCAAAGTAAAGAGCTACTGGAATTGCTACTGTGCTTTCCTGCATATTCTATCTTTTTTCTAGGGGGACATTTGCATAAAGTAAACGTGGTAGAATATTTCCTGAAGAACACATCCAGGTGTGTGTATCTAGGTGAGTACATGCATATATATGCAAACCCACATATCTGTACATACCAACACAAGAATGCGCAGAAAATATATTCAGAAGAGCATATAATTATAGACATATAAGTTATGTATGATTTCGTTATATGAAAACGTACTGGCGATTGATTATACGACGCCCTTTTTTTTCACAAATATCTACAAAATCTACTAACTGCTACTAAAATTTACTAATATCTACTAATAGTTGAATATAAACTACTGTAAATATAATAACACTAAAACGTTGATAGATTCTTACAAACAAGGTTAATATCATAAACTATAATCTGAATATTAACCACTTATGTCCAATGTCGAAGCTTTAAGTATTGTGCTAAAAAAAATGGCGCTGGTGCTCTGATTAGACACTTAAGCATAAGACGTATCTATGATAATATGAAGAATTAGCTAATGTGAAACATAATGTGTGAATACTAAATCAACTTCCAGCTTCGTCCTTCGGTCTGTATATTTGTATGTATCCCTGTTTGCATGCCTTTATGTCTGTCAATATCTCGGTCTCTCTCTCTCTCTCTCTCTCTCTCTCTCTCTCTCTCTCTCTCTCTCTCTCTCTCTCTCTCTCTCTCTCTCTCTCTCTCTCTCTCTCTCTCTCTCTCTCTCTCTCTCTCTCTCTCTTTACAATTGGTTTTGTTTTAAAATACTGGAACTGAAACTAAAATGGAAATTACTACCAAAGAAAGCTAAAACGTTATATATTGTGTACTCCAAAGTTTATTGAATATTGTTGGTTTTGTTAAATTTTCCTTGTTAAGTTATTAACATTCAATAATTTGTGACTTCATATAACTTTTAAACAAATAAATAGATGTTTTGATTCACGTGTTTGAATAACCAGTATCATCAAATCTTCGCTATAATTTTAAAAGGGACATTAATATTTGGCATTTCTTTCTTGTTTAAAATACTAAAATACGTAGGAAATTAGCACTATCATTAAGAACTCTGTTAGACAGTCAGCATTTCGCGTTGGAATGGTTCAAACAGAAGAATATTGTAGTGAAAGTACCATAGATTAGAAATTTTTTTAAGTACAATACGTGCGGTATAAATGCTTAGTCTCACCTCTCTCCTGAAACACTGAAGTGAAATAGCGTCCAATGTATAATGTCAAATTTACATCCCGACATATTCTTTATTTTTGACCCTAAAGTCAAAAGAAAACTTTTTGGAAAGGATCACTTTATTTCAATGATTCTTCTTTTCTCAGTGTCCACCACTATTCTGTGCCTGAATGTTGACTATGTCCACTGTGATTCTTTTCCTTTCCACCTTTATGACGTGTTATGGCCCTGGATGTTTGTTTACTTCATAGTCCAACAGACACTCCAATACTCGGGGTCATGTACGGGGTGTACAGTACCCTGAAGGATTCCGTTTTCAAACTTCCCATTGTTGTTATTGAATAAGCTGTTTAGTGTATAAAATTTATCCTAGTTTCTGTCGATAGGTTGCTGATGATGTTCGCTCCAGGTCTTCTTTCTGACTCTACACACAGCTTCCGTATCTCTATTATTTTGAACTCATTCTGAAGGCTTACTGTCGTTAGTTTTAAACTCCATTTGTTGGATCATTCCTTTTGTTCATATTTGTTTAGGATCACCTGCAAACATCGCCATTGAAGATTGTTTCTCCTTTCCAGGTAGGTTCTTTACATGTATGAGGAACAATATGAGCTTGAAGTCTAGTCCTTGGGAGGGAATACTGTTGTGAATACTTTTCATTAAGACACCTCTCACTGTGTGACTGTCTTAAGTTTGTGGAGTACTTTCACTTACTGTGTGAATGTGGATTTTGTGTTTGCAAGTATTTAGCATGTATGTATTTAATGTTCAAATGGATTTACTGTGAATAAGTAATTAATATTTACATGTGTTTTATGTTTGCCGGTGTTTATGTTTACGATATGTGTGTGTTTTTGAGTAATTTTGTTGTTAACGTTAGAGAGAGAGAGAGAGAGAGAGAGAGAGAGAGAGAGATTGTGTGAGCTATAGAATGTTTGTTTTTATGTCTCTGGGTATATCTATATGAATATGTTAGTATATATTGCTGTGTGTTGGTGCGTGACTCTAAATGTGTGTGCATCGAAAATATCGTACATGAAACACATTATCACCACCTTTTACTCCCTCTCTCTGTCTAACACTTACATAAATAGTCACGAATTCACTCGCATACAGACAATATATAAACTATAACAACACACACACACACACACAAGACCTTTCCTTTAACAATTGATACTTCTTTGTGTTTCCAGGGACACTTACCTCACGAGGAAGGTTCACCATCGTCGACCAAGGTGCAGAGGCGCTCTCTAGGTCTACCATTTATCGATGACGAAATGCTCATTGGCGAAAACTCAGCCAGTGTGCCTCAAATGCTGAGCTACCGTCCACTTCCCACAGAAGACAACGGTAGTGAGATGGGAGACCAAAATATTCACGGTCCCGATGCTTTTGAAGAAGACCACGACGACAAAACCAAAGATATTGTATATAGCCATCCGAAGGTTGGAGATGAAGAAATTCAGAAGATCGTGAATGAGGAAACGGAGGACGATATTGAAGTTGTTGATGAGGAGAACTCAGATATTAATAATACAGTGGAGATTGGGGAACAAGACAGTGAAAAGTCAGACAATGAGGGAGCTGTAGGTAACTATGGAGACGAAGATGTCGACAGTAAACGAAGTTCTGAAATCGAAGCAGTGCTTGAGGAAATCGAGGAAACTGAAATCAGTTACCCAAACTGCAATACTAACCAGCCGGAGAAAAATTTGAAAGATCAAACAGAGGAAAAGATGGATAAAGATCCAGAACTCGATATCAACGACCAGCTGGAGTTGAGACCTGACTCAGAACCAGAAATAAAAGAGGAGATAAAACCAGAAGACAATACATCTCCTGAGTCGACCACCAAACTTGGAGATGTGGAGACCGACGACACGGAAAGTAATCCACAAGATAAAGAAATCACTGAACCACGATCTGACGCAGATAACGCAATCTCCTCCGGTTCATCAGACTCGTCAATCTCCTCAGAGGAGGAGGAGTTTTACACTGAACCACCAAGACCATCTGTGGGTGCTTCGTCTTCGCCAAAAGAGACAAGTGAACCTCTAGACGAAGATGATGACGGTGGTTTCATCGAACTACGTCCTGAACGAGAAGACATCCACGACGCACGCAGAATTTCAGCGAAGGTAACATCACACCAACCGGTAAAAAGTTCCTCCTTTGAAGACTTAAAGAGCTCGAAATATTTATCTTTACAGTCAGAAACTGACACACAACACAAGCCCGAACAACGGATTGATATGCAAAAGTATTATCTTACCAAGAAGGCATCCGACCCTCCCGCTTTACCCCCTAAGGAAAAACACTACAAATAAGTTTTAGATGTAAACAAAATCTTAGTTACTATTTTAGGATTCTTCCAAGCTCAGGAGTACACTGGTGCTTGTTGTCAATTCCACTAAATTCAGGGCATTTTTCTTACAGTTCGCTGTCAATCATTTTCTTTACAAAAACATATAAACCAGGATTAACCTCATTATTTCACTGTAGTTGATTTTTATTAAAACTACTAAATAGCACTAAATAATAACACTAACTACTAATCATTGTTTTATATAAAAAAAATTAAACTTAAATTTAGTTTTTGCATGAATTATTCTTGTTTTTTAAAGTTATATATTTATTTTTGTATCAATATCTTTTGTATTTAAAGACGATTTTTTTTCGCATGTATACCTACATGTTGACTTTGTACTGATACGTATTGGTCCTTATACTCGTTTCTTAAGGAGGAAGAACTAGTTTTCAGTCTGAATCTTGGGTAGAAACTAGTTTTGAATTCTTGGCAGGAACTAGTTTTTGATCCTGATCAAGAAGTGCGTTAGAATCCTGGACAGGAACTAGATTAGAATCCTGGATTGCCTGGTCAGGGACCGGGCCGCGGGGGACATAGATCTCCGGAATCTTCAACAGGTAGTCAGGTGGAACGATGTGAACACCGTCCCTTCACTTCGCTCTAACAGTAAACAGGGACCTGGATGCAAGTGGTCTACCGGATTGCGTTCCGGTGAAAAGGTTTAGCGTGAGGCTGTGAACTGAATGTGGTAGAGAAGGCTCTTTTTCTGCTCACAACAACAACAACTAGAGATTTCATTGACCTGAGCTGTATGGGTCTCGAACCGTGGACCCCACGTGTGTGAGGTCGAAGCTCTAGCTCTCTTAACCACGAGAGACTTGCGGCTTCATTACCGCCAAAGTGTAAAAAAAAAAAAAATAATGATTGTTTTGATCACAGGTGTAACGTTCGTTTGATGAGTAATTTTTTTATATTTTCATTTAAACAAGATTGATCAACTATTTAATTTTTATGACATTAATCTCATCCCTTTAACGTAAGCCAAAGTTATTACAGAGCGGTCAATTAGACACCCACCCCACAAATCTGAAGAAAAATAAAGGAACTGACAACTTTTCAGTGTCATTGACCATTATTAAGTCATCAATTGATGATTTTTCAGTGCCATTGATCATTATAAAGTCATCACACGACTTAATAGCGATCCAGGACGGACCGAAACGTCGTCAATTCATTTTTATTTTCAGATTTAAGAATTGGGTATCTATAATATAGGCATTGTTTATGTATCAGCCTTCAGTAGTCTGCTCGCTATGTTGGTGTTAAAGATGCTTTTGCTATCAGTTTTTTTTTGTTTTGTTTTCAAAAGACATCTATAATTTTGTAGACCTAATCTTAATCTTATAGCACGCTGTAAATATCTGAATGCTTCCGTGCTTTCGTTTCCTTTTAAGTCAAGAGGAATAAATGTAGCAAAGGTGTGGGCCGTCTATTATTTCTCCTTATACAAACTTAAACATTCACTGCCCATATCTTCTGTTAAATTTAATCCTTTTGTTTGTACAGCTGTTTCCTATTTGGAACTAGGAATTTATCTAGTTGAATAGGTAAGTTCAGTCAGACAAATCAATTGTGGTTTGACTGTTTTTTAGTATATTTTTTCATTTTTCCTTACCCAAGCACCCAGCTGGCATATGGTGAAGTTCCTTACCCAAGCACCCAGCTATCATACGGGTATGGGGAAGTTTCTTACCCAAGCACCCAGCCATCATACGGGTATGGTGATAATGTGATTTACAAGTGTCTCCATGTTCGTGTGAAGTTTTTGTCCTGATGTTTTATGTGATGATGTGATTATAAATTATTTTTTTGTTTTAATGAGATTTTCGTATTAAATTTCTCCAGAAAAATATTATTGGGGGTTGGTGACTTTTACGGGTGTCTGTATGGTTAGCGAAGAGAAAGTTGCTATTATGATTTTGTTTAATGTTTATGTAATGAAGTAATAAGCTCTGCTTGTGAAAGTTATAATATTACAATGTACATTAGAGTGTACTGTTGTAGAAGCTCTTTCTCTCGCTAATACATTGTTATGTCCACCAATAATTATATTTCTCATTTTCTTATTGATCAAAATATCCCTCCTTTCCTTGCATGATTGAGCACTATGACTAATTGTGTATGTATATATATATATATATATATATATATATATATATATATATATATATATATATATATATATATATATATCATATCTAACAGCCATTTTTACCTAACAAGTAGAATTTGTTTATATATAAAAGTAGCCGAAAATCTTACTTTATTTATATTTACTTAATAATTAATATAAATTATATAGATTTTTTCTATTTTAAGCGACAACTAACTGAGCATCTTGGCTTACACTAAATCTTCCTATTAATGTTAATATAAATTTCTTTAATTAAAATCTATATATTTTGTGCAGAGATTAAAAAAGTAAACAAACTATCTGGCTATTAGGTATGACATGTACATATATATATATATATATATATATATATATATATATATATATATATATATATATATATATATATATATATATAATATATAATGTACATGTGTGTGTGTGTGTGTGTGTGTGTTGAGTGAATTATTGCAAATATATAATTCATGTCAAATAAATTTACTCTTGTCATACTTTTAGCTTTTTGTGCCTGTAAAGATTCTTTTGCTTGAAAAAATAATTTTTTCAATCATTAGCATATTACGAACATTCAAGTTTACTGATGTAATTAACAGTAGAATACGTGAAGGCGTAAAAGCATCTGTGTGAGGTATGTTAGTTTTATAATCAACTAACATATAAGTGGGCGTAAGTGAGTAATTGGGAGTGCGTGTCCTAACTGTATTCCCATTCTCTTGTTCCAGCGTAAATATTAACCCAACTCAATGGGGACCTGTCTGATGATTCTCCCTTGTGACCTTGCCTCACCTCTCTTGGCAGACGTTGCAACAATTTGATGATCACAAGTCAACTCTCATCGAGAACTTGAACATGGGTGAGGATACGAGGCCAAGCTTGAACCACGGAAACACTGAAGATAACAAAGGCCAGCAGCTGAGAAATATTGAAATATTGGTCGATATAGAGAATCAAGACGACACATTACAAAACAGAGACAACTACAGCAACCCAGCCATACCTCTCACACCAATTATAATCGTCAGCGGCCCAGATGAGCATGATATTTCCTGGCCAGAGTCGCATGATTTTGCCAACGATTGCGAACACAATGAAGAATTGCCTACGGATGATACCCACATCTCCAGATGTGTAGCAGAATCTGAACAAAGCGATCAAGCATCTACAGACTATCCTGCTGAAGAAAATTTAAACCAAGAAATGGTAGAGACCGAGGAATTGACAGAAGATGGAAAGAAGAGTGAAGACGAATATCTAACACCAGAGACAACTATACTAACGGATGATATATCTTATAAAGGAGAGAATGACAGAACGGACAGAGAAGAAACTGAAAACAAAACTGAATATGGAACGACCAATGAAGACGAAGTATGGCAACAAGAACCTAATGGTAACCAAAGCGGATTAAACAAAGGTAAAATAGGAACGAAAGCTGGAGTGGATGACACTAACATTACCGACGGTGGCAAATTCCAAACCGAGTTTAATGAGCGCACTGAACCCGAGGGTATGTCAGAGGAGGACTGGTCGCTCCTCAACCAGCAGATAAACAGAGATGACAATAGCGAAAACATGAAGACGGATCGTGCAGTAATTCCTGAAAGTGAAGACAACAACTCTGAATCTTACCTTACCTTTGGTCGGGACGACGACATCAGTCTAGAGGACCCAGGTGTGACGCATCGTGATGCTACAGAAGCCGAGAGTGGAGTCAATCTCGGCTCTGTCAGCGAGAGAGATGAGAGTGACAAGGAAACTGAGGCAATCAGCATGCCCTCACGCAGAAAAGAAAACCCGTCTTCTGAAAAGGAAAGCGAAAAGGAAATAAATTATCAGAATGTTGCAGACGACAAGTTTTCTGAAGACAGGGAAAGTAGTCAAGAACACAAAGAGAAGGAGAAAGGAAAGGAGGACGATAGAGGGCAAGAAGAAGAAGAAGAATCAGGAAACGCTCCCGAGAAGAAAACCGCTTCGAATCGTTCTAACAAAGGACATATTGTGAGAGGCAAGAAGCTGAACCCCGTGTTCTTGGCGGATAATTTACGCACCTTCAGTAACCCCATCAGTTACCTCGGGGGGCCCAGCATCGAGTACGAGGAAGGTGGACAAGGCAGCAGATCCAGAAGTGAGAGTCTGACATCAACATCATCTCTGGATTAGACTGTAAAGCTTAGATAAAGAAACATTATTTGTTCCTCCATTTGTTTTGGAAAACCATCTTTAAAATCTGACTATGTTAGTGTGTGGTTCATTAAAAAGATAAATATTAAAGTAAAAAATATTAACAACTAGAGCTGACAATTAAATAAAATATTTACTTCACCTATCTGATTACAATGATAAATTTAGACTTTTATCTAATTAAATCTACCTGAATATTCCCATACAAATAAAAAACAGTAACGATAAAATATAACAATATCTCCCAGCTTTGTTATCTTAAAGGAATATTTAAGGCTAATAAAAGTGCATAAGAATGAAAGTCTTTACAGTGAATACAATATAGTAAAGCGAACTACCAAGTTCATACATAACCAGAAGTCCTGTGATGCTGCAGCCGCTAAGTACAGCAAGGACCTTCTCTTCATAAGCTATCCTTATTATGTAACATTATGCTATCATTATTATGTAATATTATACTATCCTTATTTAATATTATGCTATTAATATTATGTAATATATGATCATAAATAGTTTATAATTTGTAAATACCTTTTGGCATGGCAAAAAAAAACACCACTGATGTGCTTTTAAAGTGAATGTAGAAATTATTTAGCTACTTAAGAAAATCCAGGAACTAGTTTCACAGCGGCAGTTGATTGGACAGTGGGTTGATGTATAGATTTAAGCCCAATAAAATTTTGATTAACATTTCATGTATTTTTTACCACATTTCTCATTAACACAGGAAATATGACAAAAGGAGCAATAGGTGAAAATAATTATCATGATGACCAAACCACACATCAAAAGCTGAAGAAATGTGGACGTTTCGGTCCGTCCTGGACCATTATCAAATCGTATAAATAAAGTGTAATAAAGTAGGTGGGTGGAGGTGGGGAACTTTTCGCTATGTGAGAACCATATTAAACTTGATGAATAATTCATAAGGCCACACAGTGTATTATGCACTGGATATATTAATATAAGTCAAAAAACAACTTATAAATCAAGTTTCAATAATTTAAATTGCTTTCAAAGGCCGCATGCGGCACTATTAAGGGTTATTTTCCTACATTTCCACCATCCACCGGTAGATGCTGCCATCTACCGGTTTCACCGAAGAATTATTGTGTTTTTCTGTAGGCAAAAATCCTTCCAGTCTTCTGCTGCCATCTGGCGACTGCTCCGGCAAGTCTAACCCTCGCATGCTATTGCCATCTGGTGACAGCCCCGGCAAGTCAAACCCTCGCATGCTGCTGCCCTCTGGTGGCCACAGTGAGGATTGCAAATATGGGTCACTCTCACTTATCAGTTCCTTGGAGAAAGTTGAGACAAGACGAGACTGACAGCTCGCGTTCGTGACCAGGAGGCTGTTATAAATATTTCTTCAGTATTTTTACTAAATGGTTTATTAGTTCATTAACTTATTGGATATATTGATTGATTTATTAACTTCTTATTTCAAGGTGCAAAACTATACCTTAGAATTGATCCAGGGGTTTCCTTGGGTCCCTAGATTGATCCAGGTGGTCATTGGGTCCCTAGATTGATCAAGGCGGTCATTGGGTCCTTAGATTGATCAAGGCGGTCATTGGGTCCCTAGATTGATCAAGGGGGTCCTTGGGTTACCACATTGTTCAAGGGGGTCCTTGCATCCCTAGTTTTATCCAGGGGGGGGAAGGGTAATTGGGTCCCTAGATTGTTCCAGGAGTCCTTGGATCGCTAGATTGTTCCAGGGAGGTCCGTGGGTCTTTAGATTGTTCCAGGGGGTCCTTGGGTTACCACATTGTTCCAGAGGTCCTTGGGTCCGTAGATTGTTCAAGAAGGATCTTTGGGTCCTCAGATGATTACAAAAAGCGTTTTTGGGAACGCAGATTGTTCCAGAGGGTTCTTTGGTTCCATATATTGTTAAAAGAGGGTCTTTGGGCCCTCTAATTGTTCTAGGAGGGTCTTTGGGTCCCCAGATTGCTTCAGGGAAATCTTTGGGTCACCAGATTCTTTCAGCGGGTTCTTGGGTCCCCAGAATGTTCCATGGGGGCTCCTTGGGTCACCAAATTGTTCCAGGCAGAACTTGGGTACCCAGATTGTTCTGGGTACCAATTATTTCTTCACGTGCAGAAGGAATGTGACGAATAAAAATAATCTCTAATAAAGTTGAAATAAAGGTATATCTGTTTTCATTATTATCCATTTATAGTTAAGCTTATTTAGATTTTTATTACATGTTCTTCTACTCAATTTACTCTAACATATCTTGAGAAAAGAACATGATTTGTTGCATACTTTGGATGGCTGTATCACGTTAAATATTGCTCTAATTGCTTTGATATTCAATATTAGCAAAGAAAACCTTTACTAAAAGAAATGTAAATGAATGTGGTAAATCCAATGGTAATGTTTTCAAAGTGATTCTATGGCTGGTTTTGATTTTGAGTTTTGCGAAAAATGACGATTTCGGCGAGGTGACGGTTCTCTGCTGACGACTGGTGGTGTGGCCAGGAATTGTGGCCTGAAGGCACGAACTTTCCTGCCAATATTTCTTCAGTATTTTTACTAAATGGTTTATTAGTTCATTAACTTATTGGATATATTGATTGATTTATTAACTTTTTATTTCAAGGTGCAAAACTATACCTTAGAATTGATCCAGGGGTTTCCTTGGGTCCCTAGATTGATCCAGGTGGTCATTGGGTCCCTAGATTGATCAAGGCGGTCATTGGGTCCTTAGATTGATCAAGGCGGTCATTGGGTCCCTAGATTGATCAAGGGGGTCCTTGGGTTACCACATTGTTCAAGGGGGTCCTTGCATCCCTAGTTTTATCCAGGGGGGGAAGGGTAATTGGGTCCCTAGATTGTTCCAGGAGTCCTTGGATCGCTAGATTGTTCCAGGGGGGTCCGTGGGTCGCTAGATTGTTCCAAGGGGTCCTTGGGTTACCACATTGTTCCAGAGGTCCTTGGGTCCGCAGATTGTTCCAGAAGGATCCTTGGGTCCTCAGATGATTACAAAAAGCGTTTTTGGGTACGCAGATTGTTCCAGAGGGTTCTTTGGTTCCATATATTGTTAAAAGAGGGTCTTTGGGCCCTCTAATTGTTCTAGGAGGGTCTTTGGGTCCCCAGATTGCTTCAGGGAAATCTTTGGGTCACCAGATTCTTTCAGCGGGTTCTTGGGTCCCCAGAATGTTCCATGGGGGCTCCTTGGGTCACCAAATTGTTCCAGGCAGAACTTGGGTACCCAGATTGTTCTGGGTACCAATTATTTCTTCACGTGCAGAAGGAATGTGACGAATAAAAATAATCTCTAATAAAGTTGAAATAAAGGTATATCTGTTTTCATTATTATCCATTTATAGTTAAGCTTATTTAGATTTTTATTACATGTTCTTCTACTCAATTTACTCTAACATATCTTGAGAAAAGAACATGATTTGTTGCATACTTTGGATGGCTGTATCACGTTAAATATTGCTCTAATTGCTTTGATATTCAATATTAGCAAAGAAAACCTTTACTAAAAGAAATGTAAATGAATGTGGTAAATCCAATGGTAATGTTTTCAAAGTGATTCTATGGCTGGTTTTGATTTTGAGTTTTGCGAAAAATGACGATTTCGGCGAGGTGACGGTTCTCTGCTGACGACTGGTGGTGTGGCCAGGAATTGTGGCCTGAAGGCACGAACTTTCCTGCCAATATTTCTTCAGTATTTTTACTAAATGGTTTATTAGTTCATTAACTTATTGGATATATTGATTGATTTATTAACTTTTTATTTCAAGGTGCAAAACTATACCTTAGAATTGATCCAGGGGTTTCCTTGGGTCCCTAGATTGATCCAGGTGGTCATTGGGTCCCTAGATTGATCAAGGCGGTCATTGGGTCCTTAGATTGATCAAGGCGGTCATTGGGTCCCTAGATTGATCAAGGGGGTCCTTGGGTTACCACATTGTTCAAGGGGGTCCTTGCATCCCTAGTTTTATCCAGGGGGGGAAGGGTAATTGGGTCCCTAGATTGTTCCAGGAGTCCTTGGATCGCTAGATTGTTCCAGGGGGGTCCGTGGGTCGCTAGATTGTTCCAAGGGGTCCTTGGGTTACCACATTGTTCCAGAGGTCCTTGGGTCCGCAGATTGTTCCAGAAGGATCCTTGGGTCCTCAGATGATTACAAAAAGCGTTTTTGGGTACGCAGATTGTTCCAGAGGGTTCTTTGGTTCCATATATTGTTAAAAGAGGGTCTTTGGGCCCTCTAATTGTTCTAGGAGGGTCTTTGGGTCCCCAGATTGCTTCAGGGAAATCTTTGGGTCACCAGATTCTTTCAGCGGGTTCTTGGGTCCCCAGAATGTTCCATGGGGGCTCCTTGGGTCACCAAATTGTTCCAGGCAGAACTTGGGTACCCAGATTGTTCTGGGTACCAATTATTTCTTCACGTGCAGAAGGAATGTGACGAATAAAAATAATCTCTAATAAAGTTGAAATAAAGGTATATCTGTTTTCATTATTATCCATTTATAGTTAAGCTTATTTAGATTTTTATTACATGTTCTTCTACTCAATTTACTCACATATCTTGAGAAAAGAACATGATTTGTTGCATACTTTGGATGGCTGTATCACGTTAAATATTGCTCTAATTGCTTTGATATTCAATATTAGCAAAGAAAACCTTTACTAAAAGAAATGTAAATGAATGTGGTAAATCCAATGGTAATGTTTTCAAAGTGATTCTATGGCTGGTTTTGATTTTGAGTTTTGCGAAAAATGACGATTTCGGCGAGGTGACGGTTCTCTGCTGACGACTGGTGGTGTGGCCAGGAATTGTGGCCTGAAGGCACGAACTTTCCTGCCAATATTTCTTCAGTATTTTTACTAAATGGTTTATTAGTTCATTAACTTATTGGATATATTGATTGATTTATTAACTTCTTATTTCAAGGTGCAAAACTATACCTTAGAATTGATCCAGGGGTTTCCTTGGGTCCCTAGATTGATCCAGGTGGTCATTGGGTCCCTAGATTGATCAAGGTGGTCATTGGGTCCTTCGATTGATCAAGGCGGTCATTGGGTCCCTAGATTGATCAAGGGGGTCCTTGGGTTACCACATTGTTCAAGGGGGTCCTTGCATCCCTAGTTTTATCCAGGGGGGGAAGGGTAATTGGGTCCCTAGATTGTTCCAGGAGTCCTTGGATCGCTAGATTGTTCCAGGGGGGTCCGTGGGTCGCTAGATTGTTCCAAGGCGTCCTTGGGTTACCACATTGTTCCAGAGGTCCTTGGGTCCGCAGATTGTTCCAGAAGGATCCTTGGGTACTCAGATGATTACAAAAAAGCGTTTTTGGGTACGCAGATTGTTCCAGAGGGTTCTTTGGTTCAATATATTGTTAAAAGAGGGTCTTTGGGCCCTCTAATTGTTCTAGGAGGGTCTTTGGGTCCCCAGATTGCTTCAGGGAAATCTTTGGGTCACCAGATTCTTTCAGCGGGTTCTTGGGTCCCCAGAATGTTCCATGGGGGCTCCTTGGGTCACCAAATTGTTCCAGGCAGAACTTGGGTACCCAGATTGTTCTGGGCACCAATTATTTCTTCAGTGCAGAAGGAATGTGACGAATAAAAATAATATCTAATAAAGTTGAAATAAAGGTATATCTGTTTTCATTATTATCCATTTATTGTTAAGCTTATTTAGATTTTTATTACATGTTCTTCTACTCAATTTACTCTAACAT